GGTTTTATTGTTTTATAATAATATTTTAATATAAACTAATTGTTGATATTATAGTACACTGATTGATTTTGTGTTTATGGCAAAAATTCTTGACTCTTTCTTCAAACAATGGGCATTTGGCGTGTTAAGACTGTGAAGTTACTACATCAGTGTATTCTTCTATCGGATGTTGTCCTCAATGCATTATCTGTGTATGTGTATTAAAATACCTTACTAGGAATATTAGCAACATATAATAATTGAATCATTTGAAACCTTTCAATTATAATCAGAAAAGAGAGGGGGGTCAAAAGTTTTTATGAAGTTGAAAGAGGGGGGTTAAATTTTTTAACACATTTTAAAAAGGAGGGGGGTCAATCATTTTTTATCATTTAAAATTTACATTTTGCCGGCCCCCCTGGAGATAACTAATGACCGGTCCCTAACTAGCTACTACTGAAAATAAACCCTGGTTTTCAGGAAAACTTAAATAAGTACGATATACTATGGAGCGCATTAATCCTCAATTTTTAATGCAAACTCATGGACAAGTAAATGTTGGCTCAAAATGGTCTTAACTATATTTCTCTTTCGCCAACAGTTTCCTTTCTGCAAATTTGTTGGTTAGTTTAAGTAAACAAAGACATCAAAACACTATTTTTTTTCAGGGAAGGGCCACTTTTACTAAATTGGAGTGGGTGAATTATTGGTCTGACACCTTCCGTGCAGAACTAATAAATCGATACTCTCCAACTCGCCTCCCTTTTCTACAAAATATAGGGAATAATTAAATCATTTTTCAAATTACATCCATTTTAGAACAAATAATATAAATAGATTTTCATTGCTGTTAAAAAATATATGAGAAAAGAATTTAATAATAAATTTGGCAATATCTGGACATATTGAAATAATATGAATATAATTTATTTATAGTATAGAACTGTTATCCTAAAGATAATGAACACATTATGTCATTCTTGTAAAGTTCAATAAAAACATTTAAAGAAGAGGGACGAAAGATACCAGAGGGACAGTCAAACTCATAGATCGAAAACAAACTGACAACGCGATGGCCAAAAACAAAAAGACAAACAGACAAATAATAGTACAGATGACATAACATAGAAAACTAAAGACCAAGCAACACGAACCCCACCAAAAACTGGGGGTGATCTCAGGTGCTCCGGAAGGGTAAGCAGATAATATACATTCTGCGATCTTGATTTTTTTCATTTGCAGGGTCAAAATCTGTTCCATGAAATCTAGTTTTTGAATATCAACGACTCTACATTTCAAACATATTACTCAATAATTTTACAGATATCCCTAAAATCAAAATACAACACAAAGTCGTATACATTGTTGTTGTGGGCAATTTCGATTACAGTATTGCGTATTACTGGACAGCTTTTAATTCCATGTGTACCCATGAATGGGGACAGCTTTTGATTCCACGTGTACCTGGTGAAGATAAATTCATTAATGAACATCGAACTAAGGAAATAATGTGTCTTTTCTTTTGTTTACTACTACCACTGTAAACTATAATGATGTCTGTCTTCCACTATGGAGGCAATATTTTAACCACGATATATACCACTGATAAATTCTTAGCTTATTCTTACAGAAGTCTAACAATCTGCATAGCACCACCTGACACAGACAGTCGACTGAATAGAAGTTCCTATAGTCAGAAAGAAATGCCCAGTTCAATTCTTAATATATTACTGTGAATCTTCGACATCTTACTAATATTGATGCAAAGATTAATAGATTAATAAATATAATTCTGAAACATGTCAGTGGCGTAAGAGTATACAGAAAAGTGTGGGGACAAACTTCTGAAAGTGACAAGCCAAAAAAAAAACCATAAAAACTATCTTCTATATCCTAATAGTCCAGTAGTTAGTCATTGTCCTCTATCATTTTCAGTTTCTCATTTGCAATATTTTTTTTACCAAAAGGTGGGGTACAAACCTGGCTCATATGCCCCTGCAAGCTTTGGTTGAAGGTTAAAATACGAGTTCAAATTATTATGATATTCACATTGTCGCATTTTTTTTCTCACTTAGATTTACTTATATATTCTTTTATTGTATGGACGTTGAGCAAGAAGACCTTTAATCAATCATTATCTTATTATATATACATACCTGCCATCACACCAGTCAGTATATGAGGGAGAGTCCCGCTTTTTCCTTACAAAGATAAAATCTTCTCTGGAACTGCAAACTGAGAGGGATGTTAAAGCTTCCCTCTTTTGACAAAAAAATACCCTTTTTACATCTTTTCATAATTTGGGTTGTTCTAAAAAGTAATTCACTGTATTGCAACATCATTCTTATTTGCATAGTAAAAATCATCCCATCTGATCCAGAATGTTGTTCAAATAATTTAATTCATGTATGGATGATTAAATTTTATCCTGTTGTGCTGAACATTCAACTATTACAATACTTTGTATCTTAATACAAAATTTTGAATGAAAAATGTCGTATCACATAATCTCCACCTATTAAGTGAAGCTGGAAAGAGGGAAATCTCCCTCTGTAGCACGAAAAGGTTGGATGTTTGTGCAAATGCGTAATTTCAGATAAGAATACAAGCCATGTATCATTTATCTGAATCGATGGCACAAAATGCTCTGTATAACCCCAATTTCACACTCATTTTATACACAAAAGCATTTCTGAGAACTTCTATCATATCCTAATAAACAATGAAAAAACTTATCAAATGAGTGTTTAACTATGCAGGTGCACGAAGTTGTTGCTGGAGGTATTGCATCACGATACGAATTGTTGAAAATCAACTCAAAAGACATCTTAAAAATCAAACTTTTCAGCCGAAGTTATAAATAGCTTGAAACAATCTCAATCCTTGCTTCCAGTCAAAATAAACTGTTGACACAGAGATGCATGTGTCTCGCCTGTATGTATAAATTTTGAGTAGTAAAATTAAAATGGCAATACTTTTTACATGTAAAATATGCAAAACATTCAGTCAATGAACCATGGCTAAAGGCGCAGGCCAAATGGATCCGGAGATAATACTATGTCAATGCGAATACAAGTGTATCATGAACTTATCATGTGTTGTTCCCCTTAAACTGACCTAACCACAAACCTTTAAAAAAAAATGTTGAAGCTATCGTCGTCGACACAAAAACTAAAGTGGAAAGCAATTTTGAATTTATTTAATTTGAACATTATAATAGACATACACTTCAATTATTTGGTTAAAGTTGGTTTCTCCATGTATTGATACATCAACGGCTTTCCCATCATAAGACGAGCATCCCAAAAGTAAGTTATCACAGCAAAGTCGATAGGCTTTACTTCGATTTATGTAGTAGTATTCCGCCATCTTGGATTGTAAAAGAGAGGCGAAGGATACCGAAAGGAAATTCAAACTCATAAGTCGAAAATAAACTGACAACGCCATGGCTAAAATAGAAAAAGACAAACAACAGTACAAAAAAAACACAATATAGAAAACTAAAGACTGAGCAACATGAACCCCACTAAAAACTGGGGGTGATCCGGAAGGGTAAGCAGATCCTGCTCCACATGTGGCACCCGTCGTGTTGCTCATGTTAGTACAAACCCGGTTATAAGTCTAATTCGGTAGGTCACAATAGGGGGCAGGATTGTAATTACGACAATTGGAACATATCCGTTGTCATCTGTGAAACGGATATTCCATAAAGGTCAACCGTCAGCAAATTACGTTGCAAGAATGTAATTTAGACTACCTTAAAACTTATTTCCCTTTCATTTCTGCAATGGCTGACACTTCTGAAATCCATATAAATTATCGATGTTTTGATGATAACCAATCCAAACAGTTATGAAAATGGGTGCCTCTGTGGATTCAGATGGTCTTTTATCTATTTGCCACAAAATAAACAATCCTTGTAGTTTCAAATTTTTGCTCTCAATAAAATTTGAAAATTGGCAAACCAGAATTCGAGACTGCTTCTGTTAGCTACCTTTTTCAACCAATCAGAATAGAGGGATTTTTATTAACTCATACAATATTGTTGTGAAGGTTGCTTCTAAATGTTTAAGTGATTCAATTGTTAAACAAGAGTGCACACACTGAAATGTCTCGCCTGCTTTACTTACAATGATTGATTTATGTTGAGTCCTAAAGAAAGTTATGCTACAAGTATCTCATATACTTAAGATAATCAATGAACCATGACAATAAGGTAAAGGTCAGATAAACCAAGCCAGACCGACATGTACCAGGGGCGGGGATGGGGATTTCCAACTATATGTCCCCATTCAAATGGATTGATCGTCAAAAAAAAGGGGGGGTTCCAACACCCCGAACCCCCCTGGATCCGCCACTGTGTACACTTATAATCATTCCATGCATCAAACATAGTTGACCCTATTGCTCATGGCATCTGAGAAACAGACAACCAGGAAAACTTAACATTGACCAATGAATCATGAAAATAAGGTTAAGGTCAGACGATACCTGCCAGTCAGACATATACACCTCACAATAATTCCATACACCAAATATAGTTGACCTATTCCTTATAGTATCTTAGAAGACGGATGTAACTGCTGAATCTTAATATTAACCAATGAACCATAAAAGTGAGGTCTGGCAGGACAGACATGTACCCTTTTCAATCATTTATTACATTGACCCAAGAAAATGAGGTCAAGGTCAAAAGAAACCTCCCAGATGACATGCATACCTTACAATCGTTCCATTCACTAAATATAGTTGACCTACTGCTTACAGTATTTGAGAAACAGACCTATCACGAAACTTACCCTTGATCACTGATCCATGGAATGAGGTTGAGGTCAGGTGAACCCTGCCTCACTTAAGTCTTGTGAAGGGAGGTTTAACAGCTAGACACAATGTATAGACACATATCTAGTGTTGAAGACCTCTAGATGTCTTTTGATTATTTTTTTTGTTAGGTTGCTTTCTCATTAATGTTTACCTCTTTTATTCAGACCATAGCCAACTTTCAACAAATGAACAACAAATGTTACTAAAATCTTTTATTTCTATTTGAACAATATTATGCATCATGAGAACAATGTACAGAATTAAAAGAATTAACATATCGGTTGGAGATGTTCTGAAATCAAGATACGTAACACATATACAAGTGTATTATGATATGTTCTGTAGTGTATCATGATGCTTGTCTGTTCAAACCATAATGTACCCATAACATATCATATATTATACCTGTTTTTAAACCATACTTAATTTTAAATTTTGTATATTATTAAATTGCCATAACAAAAATAGTTTTGTAAGGAATTCTCATATCCTGTAAAACATATCTTATTAGTTGACGCTGAAAAACAAATCAAATGTAGAACTACTAAATATGATAGAAAAGTAAAACTTGCTTTATTAAGTGAAGATAAGTATTTTCATGATACATAAAATTGTTCTTATTTAAATATGTCCAAAATTCAGATCATTTGATTTTTTTCAAACTCAAACAAACTTTATATCTGAAAAATTCTGGTTTGTCAATTCATCTGTCAGCTTACAACCTTAAATAAATAATTTTTCAATAATAATTCAAAAATTGAAACCCTGAAGTAAAGAACCTTATAAAAATTTAATCAAACTGCTGACAGTAAAGTATTTTTTTTTTTGCTTTATTTAGTCTTAAACGTTTTCCTTAACTAGGTGTCCCCCCAAAAGATTCTTAAAATGTTCAAAAGAACTTCTTTAAAATTTGTTTATACTTCAAAATTTCTGTACAAGGGAATAGCCAAGTTTTGGAAGCAGATTCTAAAAGAAAACTCACTCTATTTTGGTAGATCATCCTCTTTAAATTTAAATCTAAACATTGCTTCATATGGCACTCCATCCCCAAGTACAGAGTATTTTAGTACAAACATTATCAGTATCTAGACAAGGAAGTCTTAGTCTCCTTTATTTTACTTCCTTGTCAAGATAAATCAAACAAATGTTATGTCAAAATCAGCAAAGTCTGAGGTGAAGTAGATCAGAACAGTCAGTTTGCAATCTCTCCATCTGTGTTACTTAGATTTCTATTTTATGAATCGTAATTTAAAAATTAAAATACCCAGTTTCAGCTTGAAAAACTGATTAAAATTCAAATGCTTAAAAGTGACAAGACATGCATGGCATGTATGTTTTAGACAAGGATAGATGGCCATGGGTGACAAATGAACTATAAAGTTATAATAATCAAAATGTCAATCAGAAAATCCACTTTAAGACATCAGTATGTCTAAAAGTGTTACTATTATGGGACAGATAATTGTAGTTTGTGTTCTTGTTTCCATTACATCTTTGTATTAGAACCACATAATTCATTTCACATGGCCAAATTTTGTTGTTACCTAAGGAAAGTAGGCATCTTTAAATGATCTTTTCCTTTGAATGAACAAAAAATATTCATTCAACATTTTAAACTACAAATTCTGTGTTTAAAAAAGTTTCTATGACACTAGATTATTTTTCGAAGGACAGGCATGAAGTGTTCTTAATAAAAACTGATTTCTGATCATACTTCTCTCAATTAAACTGCTGATCTTGATATAAATACAACAATAAACAGATCTTAAAAGAATTTTGTTGAGAACTAATTCTTTAGAGAACTGTTTAATAAATGCAATGGAATAGTTGTGAAACCCTTCCATGACATAAAAACATGTCAGTTACTCTACTGATACAGAGCAATGACAGAACATGTTTTGTTTTCAAAATAAAAAAATAATCTACCATGTTCAAATCTTATTTTGTGAAAATTTAACGAATGGACCCTGTTTCAACTTCCAAGTCACAAGTACTATTATCATTGTGGAATAATTTTATCGCCTTTATGTGGAATGTTATTTTTGTTGTTGTTGACTTTTTCCACAAACATGGTGGAAATTTGGGACTTTGAAAACAAAACATGGTACAAGAAGAAAACAAGTCACTAACATATATTTTCAGCACCATTTATGCAAGTCAAACATACATATTATCACCAAATTGTCCTTTAAGATGTTAATGTTGTGTTTGAAGAGCACACGACAGTGTTTCACAGAATATTAATAAATTTTTATGTAAAGTAAAGTTGCACTCAAGGATATGAAACATGGTACAGTTAGATCAAGTTGTTTTCTTCTTGTCAATTTCTTTAAAATATGTATTGAAGTCATATAACCTAAAAGGATCAATAAAATAAACAGATAACCATACACATATTTCTGGAACACTTAAACTTTCATTCGTTATGTTGCAATAGATCACTAGATCCCTAAACATCAATTTTCAGTAATATAACATGAATTATGTGAGATATTTTTATCGATCCTTCAGATCATATGACTGAATATTATTTTCATTGGTCACTTTGTTGATTTGTCTCAAAGACCAATAATGAGATCAAAACTGTATATTATACTGCTACTATTCTGCTTTTACCTTTCTAGTATTTACAACATCTGTTTTCAATTTTAAAAATCATTTTGAAATCTCAACGAACTTACTTATCATTCGTATAATGTCAAAGACTGTGACTTCTTTCATTTGAATCTTTTAATCTTTCAACAATTCAAACTTATTTCTTATAAATATGCTTTTCTATCAAATATTTCCACTACTTTCTGTTTGTCATTTTAGATGTAGGTCACTAGAAAGGCAAAAACAGATGCAACAGTGCATTTCATTAATAAATAACAAATAATTATACAAAATTCCATGCTACATCAGTCATTTTTTCTTGTTTCACTCATAAATGAAATGTTTTTTCTGATGCAGTATTGAAATGAAACATATATACTTGTACACACATAACATCTTTCACACTAAAAAAAACATTTAAACTCTTTCAACACAATCATTTCAGTTGTCATGGTTACCATAAAACACATTCACTGAACTTTTTAAAATCATGTTACATTAATAGTGCTTTCCTAACTTAAAATGACCTTTTCAATATCTCCAAATTCAGTATTCTTTTAATTCATCTAAATGATCTTTTCAGTCAAAAATCAATGATTAAAGGAAAATATCAAATGTATTGGAAGATTGTCTTACAATTTCTGTCTCAACAATAAATCAATGTGATGACTGACACCCAGTTATCCAATGGGAAAATGTTGATGTCATTTCTGTAGTATATTAAACCTCTTAATTGTCATTTGACTTAATTCAAAAATTGGCCTTTAAAAACAAAACTATCTTTCAATAAATAATCACAAGCCTTAATAAAAATAAAATAATTGTACCATTACAATTTCTAGTTCAGTCTGTTATAGAAGACATTAGTACAATAACATTTCATAATTCTTCTTTTTTCTTCAAAAATAACATTAATGAATCACGACGTTACAATAGACAGCCCTAATGCTGAACATGTTAAATCATATGAAAGAGACATTCAGTTTGTTTTAGTGAAATTTCCAAGATATTACTTCCCCCCCATATACTTGCTGTTACACAACTGGACACATTGAAATACAATACACTTATACTACACATACTCATTTAATGCCATATCTTCACACAAATGCAACAAAACAACTATCCACACAATATTTTGGCAACATTCATTTGCAACTCTGACAGAACTAACAAGCTTGATTTTTCGAGGAAATTGTTAACAGCACCACTGACTACCTCTGTATTTATATTTCTAAATTCAACCTTGTGAAACATGTCATTTCTATGTATAAAATCTGGCTTACATGTTTGTGCACTTTCACTAAGAAATGCCCCTTCTGAACTAGCTTTAGTCCAAAACAATCTTTAGACAAAAACTTTAAAATATGCACTAGATATTTAAGACCTCAATCCAACTTAAAATATCCTTTTTAACTTCATATAAATGTCAATCTTTGGTACAAAGCATTATTTTCCCCTTTAATTTTATTTTTCTTGTGTACCAAAACACTTCTATATTTATGTTCACATATACATGTACACAGGTTTGTAAATGTAGCAACAGGTCTTTCTGGTAAAAATCCTTCATGCAGATTGTTTGCATTAAAAAAGTGATCATGAAACATTTCAGTTATTATATGAATGAATTTTTACACAACAATTTCATTTTCTACCATTTACACATCTGAAGCCATCTGTCTTTTTAACACACACTTTGCCAATGCAGATATAATAAAGTAATTTCAGATATTTTTTTCCACCAAAAATTATAATAAATAACAAATTTGAAAGTCTAAAATATCCTCACACAAATTTTACATTTTTATCTATATTTATTCATATGCCTTTAAATTGTACTGTTCATTCTGCAATTAATGTGTCATTTATTAATGCGAGTTGTGGAAAGGTTGACTGAAGTGCAAAAGTTATTAATGCAACTCAGTTAGATATCTCACTTATTGAAACATGAATGATTAGAAAAATTGTGAGCTTTCTATAATGTGATCAAAGCCCGGTATAATTTTTCACATTAATAAAATGTCACATTAATTTCTGAATTTGCATTATCTCTTCCTTTTTTGACATTAAATACATATCTTAGTTTATTTTCAAATTTGTTATCTATAACCAAAACCTAAATGAATATACTAGTCTTTTTAGTTTGCAAAATTTGACATTTTTTTTTAAAAGTTTGGAAAAAGACAAATCATTAACAGTGGCTATTTCTATTTGTTATATCAGCTGATGTTCTACTTTGTGGTGTAAACAAATTTTTGTTTACACAAAAGTAACTATACTGAATTACTGAAATGGATACCAATTTTCATGGGAAGACATCAATTGATGTTTCACTGGAACTTTCTGTTTATGGTTCATCTTATTTATAAAAATATTTTCTCATTTCAAGGTACACAATTTGACTTAGTTCCATGAAAACTGGTATGGATTATAAACATATCTTACAAAACAGTATAGTTCAACTTCCGCCAAATGTTACACTTGGTTTTGCTTCAAAGAATTTATTATTGACACTGCAAAATGTAACATTAAAGTTGCCATAATTTAAGTATACGAACACATTTAAATAATTTTGGTAGGCCACAACCAACATTTCAGACAATGTTTAGGACACAGAATGAACGATTTGTTTCCTTATCTTACTGTCGACATTAATTCAACTGAATTCCTGTTCATATCTTTGATAAGTACAATGTAGTAATTGTTATGGATTTTTAAACAATCTATAAATTCTTCATTCATTTCAACACAACTCTCTATGTTTGCATAGAAAATGGATCATATATATCCACAGTTATTTTTAAGTCTTAGTGAATATTTAACACAATGTATTTTCTCAAATGTGTAGCTGGTCATTTTTTTTATGTCCAATACATTTGTTTTTGGTTTGGCCTACAAATTGGAAGGTTTAGTTCAACCAATATATAAACAGCTAAACTGTTGCCCAATTATCTATTCATAAACAGCAGCTGAGCACTGCAATGGTCAACAAAGCTGCCATGTTATAACCCAGTCTCTATCTGGTGTTTAAGCACGTGCAGTAGCACAACAGAAGCACTCTTTTTTTTGAAAAGTCAGCACTTTGGACAAATCTTGTCTGTAGTAACAATTTGATTTTGGTATATTCTCTTAAACAACATTCTCCAGATAATGATTAATCAATGTATTTCCTCCAGAAAAATCAACGGTCCAGTCTGTATGAATGCACATTCATTAGGTTAGTGTTGTAATTTCTGTTCCTTCTTCTTACAAACGAGTTTCGTACAGAATATTGTCCTCACGTTTACTATGTCTTAGCACTATGATTGTTCTTCTCTTAAATATTTATTCCTCAGACATATTAGAATAAACAACATAATATAACCCTGATTTGAATAAAGTAGCTATAATTCTTCCTTTCTACTTATCCAAAATGTCTGTATTTGGAAAATACACATATGAAAATAACCTGAGTTTGTTCTCTTTTTTTCTTCACAAATTTGTGTGTATTCCCTCCTGAACACAAACTGTTGTATTATTGCTGAACTCACTTTGGTTGTGATAGCATTGTGCTTAATGCTGTTGTGCTAAATGGTTTATTCAGAACAGAGTCCTTATCTCTAAAGGCACAATCTTCTCCAAGTGCCTTCTTGTTCTGGTTCTTATACAAAGTAGTTTTGTTTTTTTTTGTACAAAAATATAGTATAAATTACAACGCAAAAATAACTTCTCCAAAAGATTTTTTTATGATAAAATTCAGTTATCACAATAATTTAAATGAAACACTTTGTGCTATTTTTTGTTGTTACAATATTTTGGGAAATAAATAAATCCTGCAGATCAATGATCTACAGATAATTTCAGATTTCTAATCTACAAAAGAAAAAAAAATCATAACTTGGCAGTATTTCTCAAAATTATTTATGTTAGACCATACAAACTGAGCTCTGTACCCAATGGCTATTCAAATTAAAAAAAATATTCAAGTTTCCATTAAAAAAAAAGCACCTAAACTTAACCTTATGAAATTTTCAATTATCTTTGACAAGCAATTTGCACTACAATATATACATCAAATTTCTTTAAAAGTTATAACTTGATCAAGTAGTTTTAAAGTTATTCTCTATACATGTAGCATAGTTATGCATCTATCAATGCAAATCTCTCATTTCGTTTAATAATATCTTCTAATTTTTTGCCCTCTTACCTCAAACTTATCAAGTCAAACATAAAGCTACAATTTCTTTGATTTTCATATTTCATACCAATCCATGATCTCCCCTCCCCACCCTAAATTTATTCTTTAAAAACCACTATAATAAAGAAATAAAGAAAAAAATAATAAAGCCATTTATAAACTAACAAAACAGCAGAGTAACATAAAAAAGAAAATACTGACCAACAAAAATTTTTGCATGAAAAAACATGGTTGATTTTTGTTTCTAATCACGATAAAATTTCTGCTAATGAACAATGTTGTTGAATGATTACAATGACTAGCTTTTATGATTCTTTGCCATGCTGTTCCTCATCATCTCCCATATGGTACTCTGCTACATATAATGCCTTGTCTATCACTTTAGGTATTGGTTTGATTTCTGTTCCAAGTTCATTCTCAATCTTGTGAAGTGAGAATCTGCAATTAACAAGTTTTGTTTCAACAATTTGCTCTAATTGGAAATAGATAAAAATAATAAGGCATAACATCATTTTGACAGGTATCAATTCAAATTCTTTAATTGACAAGACAATATTAATATTATATTAAAGTCTCAACTTTTCATTTTATAAAACATACAAGAGCCACTCTTAAAAGAGTGATGAGAGTTAAAATCTTTCTTACCAAGTTTCACTTATATTGGATTGATATTATATTATAAGATATAGTTTGTGAATAAACATTTAATTGAATAATCTATGAAATGTAAAATTTAATGGCAAGTACTGGATTGATCATTATTCACAATTAAGGTTTACCAGATTTTTTCAAGAATGTGAACTCCCAACTCATTTTCATCCTTTTTTTTTAAATTACAAGACCTATAATACTTGTTATTTTTTCTTCTCTGTTGTGTGACATCTATCTATGACTAATCCTACGCTGTATATGGTTTGTTTACCGATAAAAAGATTTTTAACGAACATGAAGTAAACTAGTTCTATGCAAATAAGTTTGGTCGTATGTTCAAATATCTCTGTTAACAATTTAATTAAATCTGGTTAAAAGGCAAAACCTTTACAATGAATCACTGATCATTCACGAGTTGAAATAACCTCAAGTTCAGAATATTCTTGTGAAGTCTGTGGGTTTTTCAATGTCCATATGATTGTTGAGTTCTGATTTCCAACAACATATATTCTGTGCAAACAACATGTTAATGTCTACATGAATAAATCCTTCATTGTATTAGACCTACACTCATACCCCAAATACAAAAATGCTAGCTAAATTGGTAGGTGCAAAGGGAGACATGTAACTTGACTAACATATTTTTCCTACTCTAAGCCAACATGTCTTTGATTTTACTCCTAAATGCAGCATCCCAACCAAAAAAGATGGCATTCAATTTTCAAGTATTCAGTTTGAAGGGTACGCACCAGCAAACTCTGTTACTCGAGGCAATATTACCATTTGACCACCTAAGTGTTTTTTTTATTATTAGAGAAACTGACACCATCTTACTAAGACAAGCTCTTACACTACAAACAACTCACTGACATGTCTACAAATTTTTTGCAGGCAATTCAATGTTAACTTAATAAAATGGAACACGTATCCACAAACCATAAACTTATTTTTGAGATCATTATACATGTAGATGCATCATATTACCTGTCATCATATGTAATGAGATTGATGGCTACACCAAGATGGCCGTATCTACCAGATCTACCAATTCTGTGAAGGTACGTCTCAGCATGTTTAGGGAAGTCAAAATTGATCACAACATTCACTGCCTGTATATCAATACCTCTGGTAAATAAATCTACAAAAATATTGTTAATTTAGCAATCATCTTTAAATTTATTACAGAGTTATTGCATGATTATTGGTGAACATTGTCCAGAGTAGATTTTTATTTTGCACAAGCTTGGGAGTATAAATCTTATCTTTTATTTTCGAACTATAAGAGCTAGAACCAATATAACCAAAATCCATCAGCATTATTTAATGTAAGTTATCAGTTTATGTCCAATAGCCATGGAGAACTAGAAAAATCCAAGCTAACAAAGCAACCTGTACTATTGTATTTCCACAATAAAAGATAATGATTTTTTTTTCCAAACAATTTTCATGAATATTTTCCATTTACTGGTAAAAGTTTGCATAGCTGGTTGGTTAAAACCATGCAGCCCATGTAAGTTCTTACTCAATTTATTTAGATCATTGCCTTATGTATGTGCACATCTTAATTTTTATCTTTTTTATATAAACATATAATCCTGGCACATAACAAATCATTGAAAAAAGCTTGGAACACATAAAAACACTTATTTGTTTCTGTCGACAAGAGTTTTCCTACTGTTTGTAGAGATTTTTGTCTTGTAAATCTAATTATAATTCTATGATATAATTGGAGCAATTAGTAAAAATTTTCAAAATATTTATCTTTTTATTATAATGCTTATTTTATATTTCAATAAATACCTGAACACACTAAGTTTCTACACAATCCTTGTCTGAAGTCATGGAACACTCTGTTTCTATGTTGTTGATTCATCTTGGCATGTATATAAAAACAGGAATAACCAAGTTCTGTGATTTTCTTTGCCAACAGCTCAACACGATTTGTGGAATTGCAAAATATAATGGACTGGTTTATCTGAAGCTGTAAGTGAAATAAATCAACAACTTGATCTTAAATTATATCACATTAATATCCAAAAGCAACAAAAGTTTTGGTTTTAATTTTAATTCCTCTAACTTATGCCAAAGGTAAATTGAAGCATGGAAGAGCTCAAAAGATAGTTTTTATCTACTTAATGTTTTTGTGATTTCCAGTTTTTAAAGTTCTGTTGTTTAACTCCCTGTATGTTTTTTTTCTAGTTTTCATGACTGTACTGTGCAAATTCTACTACTGTAAATTCATTATAATTTCTGGGATACCAATTTTTGTGGAAATCGTGGGTACAGGTGAACATCAAATTTAAATGTTCAACAAATAACAAATTTTCTGTAGGCTTGTTTGCAGACTTTGGCAAAACCATGAAATCAAATATCCATGAAAAAGAAACACGAAAATAAATGAATCAACATTAACTCCCTTTAATTATGTTTGGAAGCAGCAATAATGTTGAAGATAAAGCCTCAATTCTGGCATGTATGATACAATAGGGTGAGTTATTTAATAATGTATACTAAAATCCTCATGATGATCAACTTAGAATTTTTGTTCACTCACCTTCGAGAACAATGTATTGAGACAGTGAACCTTCTGTTTTTCTTGCACAAATGCATAATACTGTGTTACTCCCTTCAACGTCAATTCATCCATCAAATTTATTTCATATGGGTTCTGTAAATGTTTTCTCTAAAAAATTCATAATAACTTCATGAACTCCACGATTTACAAATATATGTCTCATCATCATTTTCATTTGAAAAACTCTCTAAACAAAATACTATTCAAACTAAATAGACGAGAATACTTTTAATAGAACAGATAACTATATTTTTACCATGCAATGGTGTTGTTTCAGCATAATATTCAAGCAGTCATTTTTTTTAAGATAACTATTTTCAGGGGAAGTTTTTTTTTATTGAATACTATTGTTTCCCTGTTCTATCATGTTTATGGATTTTTAAAATACTACGATATATGTATATAAGAAATAAAATAAATGTAGAATGTGCCCATGGGACAAAGATGATGCCCCTGCTTGCATTAAAGGTTATAAAGGGACATAACTAAAGTACTTAATGTCTGTTTTGTTGTAGGGATGTATAAATATCCTGCCATATCCTGTCTGTGTTTTTTTGATCTGATGAGTTAAGCCTTTATCAACTGATTTTTATAGTTTGTTCATATGTTGTACTGTTACACCACTGTCACAGGTTAGGGGGAGGGTTGGGCGTCTGCCAACATGTTCAACCCCCACCACATTCTGTATGTGCCTGTCCCAGGTCAGGAGCCTGTAATTCAGTGGTTGTCGCTTGTTGCTGTATATCATATTTGTATTTCGTTCATTGTTTTTTTACATGAATCAGGCCGTTAGTTTTCTAGTTTGAATTGTTTTACATTTGTCATTTGGGTCCTTTTATAGCTGACTATGCGGTATCAGTTTTGCTTATTGTAGAAGGCCGTACTGTGACCTATAGTTGTTAACTTCTATGTCATTTGGTCTCTGGTGGAGTGTTGTCTCATTGCTAATTATACCACATCTTCTTATTTTTATAACTAGAGAACTGTAAAAGTGACGCCACCCAAATTCAAACTTGGTCTGTGTTTTATGGTAATAAGCATTGTGTATAAGTTTCATAACATTCGGTTGAGGCAAACTAAAGTTAACATCAAAATTCTTTATTTTGTAAAAATATTTCCTTTCTCTATTTGAACTGTACATGTATACCTAACAACAAAATTATTTTCATTTACCTGTGTTTAAAGTAATTGCAAATGGCTGATATTTTTGTTCAAGCATATTGTTTTTCTTAAATTGTTTAACATTTCACAGCGGTATAACATGTTACTTTTATTATTCTTACCTTTGTTTATTTATTTTGAATTTACATTGTATCATAGATCAAATTTATTTGTTCAGTGTATGTTCACTGGTGTTAATATTTCTTTTGATTGAGTTAAGCCATTTCAATTGATATTTTATAGTGTGTCTTTCTATGTTGTGATGATACACTATTGTTTCAGATAAGGGTGAAGGTTTGGTACCATTAAAACGTTTAAACCCACTGCAATTGTTTGCACCTGTTCTAAAGTCAGAAATCTGATGTTCAGTAGTTGTCGTTTGTTGATGTGGTTTTTAAGTGTTTCTCGTTTCTAGTTTTTTATATAGATTAGACCGTTGGTTTTCCAGTTTGAATGGTTTTACACTAGTAACTTTTGGGACCCTTTACAGCTTGCTGTTCGGTGTGAGCCAAGGCTCCGTGTTGAAGACTGTACTTTGACCTATAATGGTTTACTTTTATAAATTTTGACTTGGATGGAGAGTTGTCTCATTGGCACTCATACCACATCTTCTTATATCTAATTAGAAAACAGAAACGAAAAATTCAGCAATATTTCCATTTATAAATGAGCATAACTCAGGAACAGTATAAGTGACGCCTCCTTGATCTGTGTTTTGTGGTAATTAGCTTTGTGTATAAGTTTCATAACATTTGGTCAAGGGAAACTAAAATTAGAGAATGGAAACCAATTTCCGTACGTACAGACAGACGCACATAGATGGACAAGGGTAAACCTTAATTCCTCCTCAATTCTGTAATCTTACCATAAACTGCTCCACTGTGAGGGGGAATGTAGCAGAATACAGCAGGATCTGTCTGTCCTTTGGTAAATGATCTATTATATTATCTAGCATTCCCTTAAAATCCTGTGACAACAACTTGTCAGCCTATAAAATATAAATATGGTTATTCTATGAACTTTTGTTTACAAACTGCAAGATTGTTTGCAAATAAAATATAAACATGGTAATCCTATATAAATATAATCAAGTTTTCCTGATTTTCTGTGTTTTCACACAGTATACATGTATTCCTTTGGGATTGTGTGATATCCATTGATTACTTGATTATTTTGACCTTTGATTTAATGTAACAGTCCCTTTTGTGTCTTACCCAATTACATTCTGCGTGTGCAATTCAAGGAGCCTTCAAGCCTGTGGTTGTTGTTGGTTGCTTCCTACCATAATTACTAATTTGCTCTTTCGTTTATGATATAGGTGTTATCAAGCTGTTGCTTTTTCCTATTAAAATGTTTCCTATTTTGTTATACCTTTGTCTTTTTATAGATTACTATAAAGTATGGATGTTGCTCATTGTTAAAAACTGTACAGTGACCTGTGGTAATTCACATCCTTTGTCCTTCGATCTTTAGTGGAAAATTGTCTCATTGGGAATTATACCAAATCTCATTATTTTTTTGATATTATATGGAAAAGGGAAAATTTGCTTCAACTTTCCATCAAGAGTATGTGCATTTTATAAGTACTGGTATTTCAGGTAACAAATCTGGGCATGCAAAAATTCAGCTTTAAACCTCAAAATTTTACTTGTATGATAAACATGTTTTTTGCTCATCAAAACATATTTTTGACGTGTATAATAAACATGTTTTTTTATTAGTACCCATCAGACAAATATTGTTGAGCTCAGAAAATTTTCCAATTTGTTCCTGTAATTTTTTTTAATCTTATATTTTGTTTTAGGAGGAGGGTCACCATATAAATTAGTTGTCCTGGATTCTGTGGCAAAAATCCTTTTTGCATTCAGTTTTTATGTAAAGAAACAATGCTTTGATATTATTCACTTATATACTACAGAAAACTTTCTAACTCAAGTTTTTTTCCAAACATTTCTATAACTGTACTGTCACTTATGACAACCTACCTCATCTAACACCATTATACCACACTTTCCTATTTTGACAAGGTTTTTGTTCAGCAGATCTAAAATTCTACCAGGTGTTGCAATAATGGCATGAACTGAAATAAATAAGATATACTTTTATTTAGTGATTAACTGAAACTAGTGCCTTAACACATCAGACATCTAGCACTAACTGTAGTACATTTTGTTTAGTTTGCTATGATGATAATAATTTTGCCCAACTTTGACTTATCAACTTAGATAAATAATTTATGCCAATGCCTGTTCTACTTTTTTTGTTGTTTTTCAAAGAATGGGTTTCTTAATTTAAATTCAAAATTCAAATAAACATATTGTTGCTAAACAATAAAATAATATTGCAGCTATTTCAACTCAAAGGAACTATTTTCAATAACAAAAAAAAGTCAACTTTAATCACTATAGATATATGCCTTAAGTTTTAAGAGGTTGAACCTTCTCTTTTTACTGGGTATCTGCCATAATTGTTCTTAAAAATAATTATATACTATCATGAAATCTCTATTAATCAACAATACTGTGCTTTGTTTGTTTAATGTGTACATTACCAGCAAATTCATAGTTTGCATTGACCGTGTTCGGCGTGTTGATATATTAACTATCAGAGTAAAATTGCTTGGAGTGTGTCATGAACATTTTTATTTGGAACTTGAATGTTTATTTCGAAAATAAGTCAATATTACATTCAAATAATAATTTAATTGATAAAATTATCTTTCCTTCCTAACATTACCCATCTGTGCATTAAACTTTTATCAATCAATCAACCTTCAGAGTATGCAATATTTACCTGGTTCATATAATCTCATGATATCGTCTTTTAAATTGGTTCCTCCTGTAGTCACCATACATTTGATTCCTAAATGTTTACTAATTTCTATACAAATCTGACTAGTCTGTAAGGCAAGTTCTCTAGTAGGTACAATTATCATAGCTGTAAAAAGAAAATGTCAACTTCATCAATTTTATAAAATGTTTTCTACTGTTTCTGTGCAAAGGTGAATACACATGATCTGTGTGAGTTACTGCTGACTAATTCATACCCCCACTCTCTTGCAAGTGTGACTTAATGCCGTCGGTAAAAGTGAGGTGACGGACAGGAAAGCGACTTCTTCACCCCAATTTCCGGAAGGCGTGAGCCTAAGTTAGGCAAAGGGCTACTTACATCCACTTCCTTTGAACTTTGGTCGATACTTGTCTCATTGGCAATCATACCACATCTTCTAATTTTTATAAAGGGGTAGGTTTGCACTTGTACCAAGTCGAACTATTTCGACCATGTGTTTTTTCATGTAGTTGATTTTAAATCTTTTTTCTGGAGGAGACAATTGTTGTTGGTTGGTGGTTCTGTGGTCCTAATATTTTTGGTAAATCCTGTTATCCTTTTGTGTAGAATGTATGTATCAACAAGGAAGTAGATAAGGGATGGATCAGAAAATGTTTAACACATTATACATATAAGGATCACACAAAATATCAAGAAGCTCTGATTTCTAAATGCTGAGAAAATGTGACAGAAATGTGTTTGGGATAGACGGACAGAAGAAAACCAGTATAACCAACTCTATTGGAACTGGTGTATAAAGAATTAATATGTCCTAGATTCCTACCGTTGTATCATACAATATGAGGTTTGAGCATTCTGTGTTTTATTTATTTGCAATACTACTGAGTTCAGAAAACGAGACCATGTTTCCAAAAGTTCTTTGTTTATCCAATGGAATGTTTTAATGGTGTTATTCTTTTTGTTTCCTTAATTTGTAGATTAAGCTTGTAAATTACATGTACATATACCAGATGCTTCAAAACTGTTAAGTTAGTCTGATATTCATAAATGACCATAGAACTGTACTAAATTTTCAAAATTTAACTGATAGAAAATACATTTTAGTTGGGTAAAAGGACTTGGCACAAACCCCTGTACCACATATTGTTATTTCCTTTCATTATTATAATGGTAAGACAGCATTCCAATTTAGATTAATTCCCTTTTCTAGACTTCCAGCGATTTAAAACTTTACAAATTGTAGAGACACTTGTCTGTTGTTGATGACTGTGTGTTCTTTTTTAGTTGTTAGGTTGCAGTCTTTTTGAGGTAAAACCATATCTCAACCAACTCATAGATATTTCTACAAAGGACATTCAACCTGTAGTTAATATAATTAATAACAACTTTACAAACTAGAGGCTCTTGAGAGCCTGTGTCACTCACCTGATTCTACTTTGGTTTTGGAAATCATGTAAAAATAGATTAAAATCATAACATATACCCTAATAATGATTGAGGCCAAATTTGGTTTAATATTGGCCCCATAATTTAATCAAAAGCAGAAGACTTTTGTAAAGTTTACAGAAATTACCAATAAATTCATTGACATTGTAGAAAATGACGTTATATGGACCATAACTCCAACAAGATATCAATTGACAATTTTGCTCATGTTGAGTTATGTGTAGATCTTCTTTTCTTGATATTTTTGCAGTTTACAGTATATCTCAATCTATAAAGATACATGTATTAAGGTATTCATCAGCACCTCATCAGGAACAGTTATGCCATGTTTGGTTTCATTCCATTCAGTGCTCCTTTAGAAGAAGCATTTGTATGTATTTCCTATAGGGTCTTATGTTAAACTAAGTCCCCTGCTGGCAGCCATCTTGGATGATTGATCGCCTACAAAGTTACAACACTTGGTCAGCACCTCATAAGAACATTCATGCCATGTTTTATTTCATTCCATTTAGTGGTTCTCTAGAAGAAGACATTTGTATGTATTTCCTGTAGGGTCCTAAGTTAAACTAAGTCCCCCTCTGGCGGTCATCTTGGATGATGGATCGGCTTCAAAGTAACAACACTTGGTCAGCACCTCATAAGGAACATTCATGCCATGTTTGGTTTCATTCTATTCAGTGGTTCTCAAGAAGAAAACATTTGTATGTATTTCCCATTGGGTCCTATGTTAAAGGAAGTCCCCGCTGGCGGCCATCTTGGATGATGGATCGGCTTCAAAGTAACAACACTTGGTCAGCACCTCATAAGGAACATTGATGCCATGTTTGGTTTCATTCCATTCAGTGGTTCTCTAAAAGAAGACATTTGTATGTATTTCCTGTAGGGTCCTATGTTAAACGAAGTCCCCCGCTGGCGGCCATCTTGGATGATGGATCAGCTACAAAGTAACAACACTTGGTCAGCACCTCATAAGGAACATTCATGCCATGTTTGGTTTCATTCCATTCAGTGGTTCTCTAGAAATGTAAAAAGTTAACGAAGACGACGGACACCAAGTGATGAGAAAATCTAACTTGCCTGGCCCTTTGGGCCAGGTGAGCTAAAAAGCAAATTAGTGTTTTCTTACCTTGAACTTCATCCCTTGAAGGGTCACATTTTTCTAATATCGGTATAGTATAAGCACCAGTTTTTCCAGTACCATTTTTAGCTCTAGCTAAGATGTCTCGTCCTGTTAGTGCTATAGGAATACTAGCTTCCTGTATAGGTGATGGTGACTCCCATCCTTTTTCAAAAATCCCCATCAAAAGCTCTCTCTTCAGACAAAAATCCTCAAATTCATTCCCTTTTGTGTTGGTAACATCCTATGAATCAGAAAAATTGTATATAACTTTATTGAATGCAATAAAAAATAAAATGTTCCACTGGGGCGCAGCTTGATACGACCGCAGAGGTCGAATCCTGAACAGTTGGGGCAAGTATGGACACAACATTCAAGCTTGAAACAGTACTGAATTTGGATTGTAATTAAATATTTGACACAGCATAGGTTTCTGACACAGAATGAATGTGGTCTCAGAACTTAAAATTTTTTAATTTACCCATATCATTATTATTTGCTTTTATATATAAATCAGAAATAACCAATTTAAAATGGAAAATTTTAAAGAAAAAAAATCCCCCCCCCCAAATTTTTTGAACCCCCTTATGATTCATCACCCCCAAACTCAATCCCAGCCTTCCCTTTGAGGTATGGTACCTTGCAGTACAATTTCAGAGAGATCCATACACTTGAACACGTTATTGTCTGGAAACTAGAAAAATGCTTGTTTTTTTGCCCCTTTTTGGCCCCAAATTCCTAAACGTTTAGGGCAATTACCCCCAAACTCAAACCCAGCTTTCCCTTTGTGATATGGAACCTTACAGTACAATTTCATAAAGATCCATACACTTACACACAAGTTATTGTCCTGAAACTAGAAAAATGCTTGTTTTTTTGCCCTTTTATGGCCCCTAATTCCTAAAATTTTGAGAGAATTACCCCCAAAATCAATCGCAGCCTTCCCTTTGTGGTATGGTACCTTGCAGTACAATTTCAGAGAGATCCATACACTTGAACACAAGTTATTGTCATGAAACTAGAAAAATGCTTATTTTTGGCCCCTTTTTCCTTAATGTTTTGGGCAATTACCCCCAAACTCAATTCCAGCTTTCCCTTTGAGATATGGAACCTTGTAGTACAATTTTATAAAGATCCATACACTTACACACAAGTTATTGTCATGAAACTAGAAAAATGCTTGTTTTTTGCCCCTTTTTGGCCCCTAATTCCTAAAATTTGGAGGCAATTACCCCCAAAATCAATCCCAGCATTCCCTTTGTGATATGGAACCTTGTGTTACAATGTCAGAGAGATCCATACACTTACACACAAGTAATTGTCATGAAACTAGAAAAATGCTTGTTTTTTGCCCCTTTTTGGCCCCTAATTCCTAAAATTTTGAGGCAATTACCCCCAAAATCAATCCCAGCCTTCCCTTTGTGATATGGAACCTTGTGGTACAATGTCAGAGAGATCCATACACTAACACACAAGTTATGTCTGGAAGTTACAAAAATTCTTATTTTTGGCCCCTTTTTCCTTAACTGTTGGTACCATAACCCCCAAAATCAATCCCCACCTTCCTTTTGTGGTATTGAACCTTATGGTAAAATTTCATAGAGATCCATTCACTTAAACTAAAGTTAAGAGTGCGAAAACCAATGTGTTTTCGGACGATGACGACGTCATACCAATATACGACCACAAAATTTTTTTGAGGTCGTATAAAAACTTCCGACCAAATGCATCATGACAAAAAGGCAAAGATTCAATTACCTACTTCAGTTCATAAAACTAAACATTTTCATCCATTATCAAGATTACACTATTTTTCAAATTTCATATTTTATGGTAATTCAAGGAATATGCTGTCAAATTGATAGCAAACTGGGTTTTCTGTATTTAGAAAGACAGACTCTTTCAGACTTTTTTGACCTCCTGCATTCCATGCCTATTTTCGAATCTATCATGGACCATAACTCCTGAACAGCAAAAATAAAAATTGTCAATATCAAACTTGACCACCATTTTATCAACAGTAACAGCATATTAAATTTTAAGAGCATTGATTAAACAGTTCATTAGTTATTGCACTGAAACAACATAAAATGCCATTTTTCAATCTATCAATAATCATAACTCTTGGATGGCAAAAGTTAAAATCATCAATATTGATCTTGACCTACATTTTGTCATCAGTAACAACATTTTATAATTTGAAAACCCTTGGTAGAAGGGTTCAAAAGTTTTTTAACAGAAACCACATAAATTGACATTTTTCAATATATCAAGGACCATAACTCCTGAACAGCAAGAGTGAAAATCGTCAATATCCTTCTTGACCTTCATTTTGTCATAAGTATCAACTTATAAAAATAAAAACACATTCATTGAAAGGTTTAAAAATTATTGCACGGAAACTGTTGCCATACTTCACTAATTTAATAACTATTTTTTCCCCTCCTGAATTCCCAGTTAAAAATGGATATCATTGTTTATGAAAATAGGGTATGTATATAAAACGACTTCATTTTCATAAATATTAGGTATACAATTTATCATGTAGGGAACTCTAAGGACAACCTGACTCCCAACAGGAAAGTGAATTCAAAACTCTATAAAACGGGTTGCAAACTTGCAAGAAGGGTTGGTTATCTTTGTAATTTGCCTTATGCAATTCTTTTTTCCTAAATACTATACTTACAGTTGTCTTGATTCGGTTATCCTTTGGAGGAAGCTTCAATTTGGACTTCCAACCCTGGTCACTGAAAGAAAATGGCATAGAACTCTCATTTGTATTCACAAGAATACAGTTTTCTTTAACATTTTCATAATTGTGTATATATGACTCCATGATTTTTTTTTAAAAGATAAAAAGTTAAATTACTGACATGAACATCTTTTACATAATTTGTAGCTGCCAACATCTGTTTTGACAAGAAAGAGATTTACTAAGATTAAGAAATTTTTCATGTTGATAGCATAAACTAGTTCCTGTATGCAATCAATCCATACTTTCTCCAAACACTTGTAATCCATTGCAGTTGCTTATAAAAGTCCACATACAGGTTAATGTAATGTTTTCTTTTGAATTGCTGTCTAAATGCTGTTTACCACTTATTTCTTACTCATGTATGATCATTGATTATATAAAATGCTTTGCTGAGCGCAGCCTGATACGACCGCAGAGGTCCAACCCTGAACAGTTGGGGCAAATTTGGACACAATATTCAAGCTTGATACTGTCTGAATTTGGATTGTGATCAAATTTTGGACATAATATAGGTTTCTGACACAAAATAAATGTGGTCAAAGATCATACAAATCTATTGCGCATTACTGTGCAATTGAAGATTTCTTCTTGAAACTTTTCAAAAGTTCGAAATTTGAAAAATTTTGAAAAAAAAATATGAATCCCCTAAAAAAATTGGAAAAAAAAATCCCCCCCCCCCCCCCCAACTTTTTGAAACCCCTCTTGGAGCAATAACCCTAAAACTCAATCCAAGCATTGCCTTTGAAGTATGGAACCTTGTAGTACAATTTCAGAGAGATCCATACACTTACACACAAGTTATTGTCTGGAAACTAGAAAAATGCTTGTTTTTGGCCCCTATTTCTACATGTTTTGGGCAATTAACCCCCAACTCAATCCCAGCCTTCCCTTTGTGATATGGAACCTTGTGGTACAATGTCAGAGAGATCCATACACTTACACACAAGTTATTGTCTGGAAACTAGAAAAATGCTTGTTTTTGGCCCCTATTTCTACATGTTTTGGGCAATTAACCCCCAACTCAATCCCAGCCTTCCCTTTGTGATATGGAACCTTGTGGTACAATGTCAGAGAGATCCATACACTTACAAGTTATTGTCTGGAAACTAGAAAAATGCTTGTTTTTGGCCCTTAATTCCTAAACTGTTGGCCCCATAACCCCTAAAATGAATCCAAACCTTCTACTTGTGGTATTAAACATTGTGGTACAATTTCAGAGCAATCAAAATACTTATACACAAGTTATTATCCTGAAACTAGAAAAATGCTGGTTTTGGGCCCCTAATTTCTTAACGATTGGGACCATCATCCCCAAAATCAATCCAAACCTTCCTTTTGTGGTATTGAACCTTCTTAAAAAATTTCATAGAGAACCATTCACTTAAACTAAAATTATTGTCCGGAAACCAATGTGTCTTCGGACGACGACGACATCATACCATTATACGATCCCAAAAATTTTTTTGCGGTTGTATAAATATTGTATAATTTTCAGTTTTCTTTGTTGGGTGTTCCTTAATTGACCATACCCTGTAGCAGGATTCCCTTTCCCATCCATCGGTGGAGGTCCAGCGTGGTTCATATTTTGTTCCATTCTGGCTGAAGCCATCATACATATATCCGTAACTCCTTTTTTATTTATTTACGCAGTGAAATAATCACCTATGTGAAACTCATCAGCAATTTCTGAATCTGGAAATACACAAAATAAATTACATTTAAGATATAGATTCAGAGTAGCCCGATTTTGATATATGAAACCCACCCATCCAATGATGCATCAGTGCACCAAGTTTGGTCAACCTTAATAAGGTACTTTGACCATTGTGCGCAGGACACAAATCAGACAAGGTTTCTTTTTCATAGGGGTCAAAGGTTCAAGTCAAAGTGAGAGTTACCTTATTATTGTATATGACACACCCCCTGCACATGATGCAACTGCATACTAAGTTTGGCTAACCCATGATTTACAGTTCAAAATTTTGAAGCCTGACACGAACTGGACAAGATTTACTTTAATATGGGTCTATGTCAAAGTCAAGTTCAAAATCATGACTTGACTTTGTTATACGTCATATATGACACCCACCCAGCCCATGACGCTTCTGCATACCAAGTTTAATCAACCCAAGTTCAATGGTACAAAAGTTATGCACTGTACACTAAGTGGGACAGAAAGACGGGGTGATTCATATATACGATTTACAAAGTATTCCATGCACTTTTGGGATTCAACAAATAAATGAAGTCATATTGGCATTTTGTATTGCTATTATATTTTGGTATTAACAGTTTGTGTTGTATATAATAGTTTTCAAGATACGTGTCGGTCAAAATGCTTAAATCTAGCAAAAACTAGAAGTTGGATATAACAGCTTATTAGCTAAAGAGTTTATACCCTACCACATTCTGTTCGTGTCTGCCTAAAGTCGGCAGAAGCCAGTCATTGTCATATTGGTATTTTAGCATATTGTATTGTTGTTAATTTTTGCTGTTAACAGAGTTTTATAATAGTTTTGAATTTCCGTGTACATGCAGGTCAAAACGCTTTTAAAATGTCTCAAAAATTACAAGTTGAATATAACAGCTACATTAGCTCTGAGTTTATACCCTACCACATTTTGTTTGTGTCTGCCTACAGTCAACAGGTGCAAGCTATTTAGTTATTGGTTGAGGTCTATCATATCTGTTTATAGTTATTGTTTTTAACATAAATCAGGCTGTTGCTTTTCTCATTTGAATTGTTTAACATTTGGTCATGAACCACAAAGTAGACAAAAATAATAGAAAAAGTACAAACCTGAACATTTTTTCTTGATTACTTTCAATACTTAATTACATAAAACACATCAAATACACGATCAATAGAAAGAAGCAAGAGCTAGTTGTTTAAACTTCCATACAGTTTTATTCATCTTAACAAAAATGACTATACACATAACATACATTGTATATACATTTTTAGTAGATATGCCAACTTTACAGAAAGGCTTGCTCATTGTTAAAGCCATACAGTGACCTATAGATGCTTTATTCTTCATCATTTGGTCTCTAGTGGATCCTCGTCTAATTGGTGACCATACCACACTTTCTTATAAATATGTTCTTTTATTATTCCTGTTTTATCCAGAAACTTGAGATTTACTTACAGCAAGGATTTTATTTTTATAGAAGTAGAATAATTTGTTCTTTTCTGTATCTTTCACTACTTGTACATCATCAAAAATTTGAACGAGTGCAAAACTACGTAGATGTTGATAATAACAAAAGGGGGGAATAAGATTTCTTTGAAAGATCAGTTGCTATCTGCCACATTTAAATGTGACCGTCCAAATTCAGATACCTCGTTTATGGTTGTCTGTTTACAATTGAGTGAATGTTTTGTTTGAACCTGGTGTTGATTACAGATAGATTTGGCGTCTTCTTGAAACCGGTCTAATTTACACCGGTTTCAAGATTTATGTATTCCCTTATAAATTCCAACACAAGTATATCTTAAATATAATGTCGTACTTGTTACAAAATAGAAACCCAGTATACTTTAATAAAAACTACGTAGGTCGTAGACTAAGCAGTTTTAACTGTGGGTAACAATCATCCGAAAAATCAGCTGTTTCGTTTTGAAGTGGATGAACTTCTACTCAAAATACAACGGAACTCAGCTTTCAATATAAAATAAACATTTCATTAAGTAATTGAAGGTTTCAACTCAATGATTGTTGAATTTGACAGTTCTTTGATTATTTATAAGTCCGATGGCTGGGGATTTATATCTTGACCACCAAGCTTACCAATAACATTCAAAATGGCCGATTGAGCGATAGGTGGCGCTGTAGTTTTGTTTCCATTTGAACAAATGAGACTCAAATCGCTATTTTGCTCTATTATCAGGTTTAAATTTGTTGAAATGAAACTTATTTTAGATGCTCAAATAAAACTAAATTAGAAAATACGTTTAACGTTAGTGCTTAGGATTTTTTAAAACTATAATTGAACTTTGACCCAAGATCTTTGCAAAACAAATAAACTTCCGGTTGTCATATTATGATAAAGGGTGGATTTACGGTGCAAGTAGCCAACAATGAATGTCCAATAATAAAACTTTCAGAAAACCACAAAGTCACAACTGGGAACAGTATATCTAATATATATGTTCCTGGTCACAAATAATCCTAAAAAAGTAAAAAAATGTAAACAATAAAGTAAAACAAGTCCGCTTTTTATTAATGAACTTCTAATGTCTTGTCATATATGAGGGGCCTGATGGGTTATTTTCGTTCTTCGTGATCGGCGCATTTTCGCTATCGTGATCCGTTTTTCTACAGATTTTTTTTTTTTATATTTTCGTGATCCGTGATCATGGAAATTTATTTTCTGTGAATCGTGATTGACAAAAAAATCAACTCGTGAATCGTGATGAGACCCCCCCCCCCCCCTATCAGGCCCCTCATATATGTTCCAATAAACAGCATTGAAGTCAATCTGTTGTCAATTTATTTCAAAAAAAAGATTATGCTTTCAAAAAAGGACATTTTTTCTAGGATAAGTAGAATATTCATGATTTTATTTAAAGAAAAATTGAAGAATAAAAAGGAGTAAAAATTGAGAAATGAACTAGCATCAATAATACAAACGGACCATATGCAGCCTTGTAGAATTCATCTCCAAGAAACACAACTGGATATAACCTTCAACATCGGATATTAGACCCTTAGCGATATGAAGTCGCACTCAAAGATATAATAACCCAAAAGGACACGAAGACGGAGGTGTAATAAAAGCAGCACGACAGGACATTGTTTGCTCTATCTGGTGAATATATTAATTCTTGACTCAGATTGTGAACTTGGACCAATGTTCAACTGAAAGGATGCAAAGCACACTATATACCGGTTGTTTATATCATAAACAACACAATGACACATCAGCTATTCTGAGCCTGAATGCATCACTTAGCAGCCTACTCGCCCACAAAAGAACACTACCAAATATCGTACCTGCTGGAGATTTTTTTCCTTCCAGATAAATGGTGGGACCAAGATGTCACAATTGGAGGCATCAAGTAATATTAAACATAAACCAAATTACACAAAAGAACTAAATAATGAATTTTTAGACTTACTCCGTATAGTTGATGAAGATTGCGTACACCAATGCGTAAACGAACCAACAAGAGGGAATACAATTTTAGATAAATTAGTTGTAACATCTATAATAAAAACTTGATTCAACTTGTGGACATCACAGAATGATGCAATGAGTGATCACATAATATTTGTCACCACAATAATTGTAAAACCAAAAGTAGTGAGAAATTAAGCCGGCATGGAAATTATACTGCTATTGCGCCTATAAAAAAAGACAATATAGAGGGTGTCAAACAGTACCTACAAAACAACTTTGATTCATTCAAAGAGAGCTTTAGTGAGAAGGATATATATAGAAGCGTACTGACAATCCTTTAATTCACCTCTCTTTTGTGCAATTGACAGTCATACCTTTTCAACTGATTTTTATAGTTTGTTCTTATGTTTTACTGTTACACCACTGTCCCAGGTTAGGAGGAGGGTTGCCGCCTTCAAACATGTTAAACTCCGTCACATTCTATTTGTGCCTGTCCCAAGTCAGGAGCCTGTAATTGAGTTGTTGTCGTTTTTTGCTGATTCTCGCATTAGTTATTCGTTTATTATTTTGCATAGTTTGTTCTTGTGTTGTTCCATTACACCATTGTTCCATGTTAGGGGAGAGTTGGCGCCTTCAAACACGTTTAACCCCGCTTCAGAAAATTGTAACCGCGAGAATAAGAGCACTGTCATTCATTAGGTGTTTCTTGGGCACTGGGAGAAGTAAAGAAACAAGCTAACCTTGCACTTGTAAGACCACGTAGCATGGGCATTGAATTAAAGAATGGATTTCATCTTCAACAGAATTTTCATAAATAACTTTTTCTTTCACTAAAATATCCAAGTTACAATATCTTCACATCTCAATCTTGAGGTTATGTGAGCTTACTCTAAATTTTGTTAACAATCTTCTTTCATTTTTAGTACCACAACTTAAGTTTTTTACTAATTTGAAAATGGTTTTAAATTTACGATTTGTCCTTAACTTGTTTCCAACTTTGGAATGTTAATTTTGTATTATCATTAAAAAGCCTGTTTAACCAAATTTGGTTAAATATGGGTTTTTTTTTTAGAACTTTTGACTTTTGTTATAATGTAATGCATATGGAATAAACAATCAAATTTCAGATAGGACACAATTTCTCTTGATAGATATATCATTTCAAAATACACATTATTGAAACCTAATCATAAAATCATGCTTTTCGATGACAGTCGAATATTCAATGAAAGGGCAGTTAGGCATATGTTCCGAGTCAGGGACATCATTCAACAAGTGAATGTGGTATGACACCAGTGTCTCGGACAGAGGGTTTCTTATCGTCGAGTTGCAAGTTGCGAGTTAAGAAAGTCGAGTTGCGAGTTACGAAGGTCGAGTTGCGAGTTATGACGGTCGAGTTGCGAGTTACGAAAGTCGAGTTGCGAGTAACGAAGGTCGAGTTGCGAGTTACGACGGTCGAGTTGCGAGTTACGAAGGTCGAGTTGCGAGTTACAAAAATATTTTGTTTCTCTAATTTCCTAAGAATTATATATATAAACGGTCGTATATATAAACGGTCGTGTCGTTTGATTTTTGAAACAGAATTTTCAGGTTTGCTTCGCATTTAATAACAAAGCATACATGTACCCGAACTTAGTTGTTATACACTGCATGAGGAAGGGTCCCGGTATTTTGATTGCAGGATTTGAAAGAGTTATGTGATACTTATTTATAAGAGTCTATATGTTGAAAAGTCACGCACGCTTAAATTTCTTTCATGAGAGCGACATTGTTCATTTTCTAAAATAAAGCAGGATATAATGTACAAATGGTATAAGACAAAATGTATACCGTACTGAACAAATCAAGCATAAGAAAATAAATCATGTAGACAAATGAAATATACTTGCAAATTATCGACATCTCACAGAATATGACACTGTATTAGGCCTAAAGTAAATACTTATCAAAGGTACCAAGCTTATAATATTTTCTACGCCAGACGCGCGTGTCGTCTATACAAGACTCATCAGTGACGTTTTAATAAAGGATATTCATTAGCATACCAAGTGCTAACTCTTTTTCTTTCGCAAAGGTTTAGGGTGATATAGGCACAATTGCACATTTAACTTTAGAAAATATCGCATGAATTAGTCAGAAATGTGATAATGTTATGTGCTTTATGTGATAAATTAAATAAGTTTGAACTTTGTTAGTTTTGTGATTCAACCCCAAGCGGAGAGTGCATATATATACCAAATAGTTAATAATCGAGTTGTTCAATGTATGTATATCTGAAAACTACAACGCAAAAAAATAGGATGCTATAGATGTCTTTCTATGGCATTATGGTAACTTCCTGGCATAGATCATAATATGATTTTTTTTTTAATTTGGAAAACTTTATTCTACAATAAGCTATACCGCTGTTACAAAAAAATAAAAGGGACAGTTTTAAGGAATGTTATGGCGTGTGTTTTACGGTATGAGCACGGAAGCCTTGTCTGTCACAAGTTTACTTTTTTACCTGCATGCAGTCTTGATACAAATGTTGTAGTTTCAGATATCAGCTGGGTATTGTACATTTTTCTAAAACAAAATGTGCTTCCTTTTCATTTTAATATCATGCATATATAAAAAAAAAAGAAGATGTGGCATGCTTGCCAATGAGACAACTCTCCACAAGAGACCAAATGACACAGAAATTAACAACTATAGGTCACCGTACGGCCTTCAACAATGAGCAAAGCCCATACCGCACAGTCAGCTATAAAAGGCCCCGAAATAACAATATAAAACAATTCAAACGAGAAAACTAACGGCCTAATTCATGTACAAAAAATGAACGAAAAACAAATATGTAACACATAAACATGATAAACAAACGACAACCACTGAATAACAGGCTCCTGACTTGGGACAGGCACATACATACAGAATGTGACGGGGTCACGAGAGCACCTGAATTTTTTTTTACCCGGGTAAGTATGGCATCAAGTTGTACTTTAAGGCATCTGCCATCCATATTTTGGAGAGGCGTAGGTTTTTTTTTTAAAGAATTGTTGGATTCTGAATTACTTGAGAAAAAATTGTCTAGAATGGAAGTGAATAAATTTAAAGATTATTTCTACTGAAAATTAGGAAAAAATATATTTATTGACATTAGGTTTATAATAAATTGTTCGGATTTTAATGAAAACAAAACACATTTGGTGTTTTATTTCTGGAAATATTTGAAAAAAAAATGTATCCTTAAAGGACGCATGTACCCCCAAAAAATGAAAAAGATAGCCATTGTGCATTATATAAAAAAAAAACGTGTATTATATACTGAGTAGTAAATACAGACAAATTGTATATGTAATACAGTCAACTGCAACTATTCTTTATCCGCCACGATATCGCGGCTGTATGTGTATGACGTCACGTAATCAATATCAGTCTCGTTACGTCTCGGGGGAGGGGGGGCACTTTATTACTTAATTGATAGGGAGTGCTGCTGGGGTTCTGTTACCCCACCCTTTTCATATATTTTAGATTTTAAAAATGTATACCTTTTCATATATTGCGTAGGTAAAAATGTTACATTTTACCATATTGTTTGGGTTTCATGTGGTGTGTAATGTAAAAGTGGAATACCAAAGTGCCAAAAGAGAGAAAATTAGTTGATAAAAACACAGCCGGGAACACCAAGAAAGATGACAGACGAAGAAGTTATGGGTACTTTATTGACCTTATATATTTCTGATAGTTTTTCCGATCTATTCACATATTTTCAAGCTTGAAGTTGCTAATTCGTTTTCAGACAGGCATAAAACACTTTCAGAAAATTTGGAATTACCGGTACCATGTAAGATAATGAATGCTCTCTGTGGTAAATAATTAAATAGATTAATTTTCCCTGAAAAATCATGTGCTAATCTAACCAAACTGAAACCTATATTAGTGTGTATGATGGTATGGTAACATAGATTATTATTATTTTCAATTCTCCTCAAAATAGAGACCATAGACAAAAAGGACCAATAAAATGTTCCTCTCGGCTAAATACTGAGAACTGGTTCACAGTGAATCACAACCATTAACACAGTGTTATTACACTAGTATCATCTTTTTGTCTCGAATATGGAACAACAAAAGAGACATTGTCAATTTGTAAATCATGAGCAACACGATTCGTTCCGTATGGTGAACCAAATATACTTATCCTTCCAACGCAATTAAAATCAGATTATGATCGGTTTGTGATGTTGCCTTTTGTGAACAGCGATTTGTTTTGTATTTTTTCGTGGTTTAATTTGGACATGGATTTGTCACTTTGTCTTTGACCAAAGAGTTTTAAATCCCCCTTTCGGTATGTTCCGTCTTTCTTTTATGGTAGAATGCATAACTCAGGATTTAGGGCTGCTGTCTACATGAAAGATTCTAAACTAAGAGTTTCCAGTGGCATAATTTAAGATAACACGTAGGAAAAGCTGTCTCCAAATAGTTAGTGATCCGGCGGCGGCGACGTTAGCTCTTGACTTAAAAGCTTAGTATTTCAGAAGAAAGAAGACCTGGATGCCTCATACTTAGTATATAGAGGCCTTATCTTACGAACTTTCCGTCCGTCATATGACCAATGGCCTTGACCTGGATTTGTCACTTTGTATTTGACCAAAGAGTTTTAAATCCCCCTTTCGGTATGTTCCGCCTTTCTTTTATGGTAGAATGCATAACCCAGGATTTAGGGCTGCTGTCTAGATGAAAGATTCTAAACTAAGAGTTTCCAGTGGCATAATTTAAGATAACACGTAGGAAAAGCTGTCTCCAAATAGTTAGTGATCCGGCGGCGGCGACGTTAGCTCTTGACTTAAAAGCTTAGTATTTCAGAAGAAAGAAGACCTGGATGCCTCATACTTAGTATATAGAGGCCTTATCTTACGAACTTTCCGTCCGTCATATGACCAATGGCCTTGACCTCATTTACATGGTTCATTGGTCAATGCTATATTTTTCTTGTTTAGTCTGTTTTTCAGATACTATAAGAAATAGGTGAACTATATTTGGTTTATGGAATGATTGTAAGGTGTAAATAAATGTCTGGCATGTTTCATCTGACCTTGACCATATTTTCATGGTTCATTGATCAATGTTGAATTTCTCTGAATTGTTCTGTTTTTTTATAAATACTTTTCAAATAACTAACAACTCTTTAAAACTGAACTTTTTTCATATTGATTTTAAAAATGTTTTGACGTTTTATACAGACAGTTCAAATTTTATGTAATCAATTTCCCATCTACTGCGCAATGAGTTTCGTGTCAAAAAAAAAGTAAAAAGAGTTATATTTGTCAGCATGTTATTCCTAAATGAACTTGATTTATTTGGGTATGATTAATTCACTTTTTAGAAAGAAGTTACATATTCCAAAACTGCATCTTTTGCCTCTTTTACAAAAGTATCTTTGACAGCTGCATGTAAAGAATAAAGAATGGAAACGGGGAATGGGTCAAAGAGACAACAACCCAACCAAAATATACAAGGCAACCCAAGGCCACCAATGGGTCTTCAATACAGCGAGAAATCCCACACCTAGAGGCAGCCCCGAGCAGGCCCCGAAACACAATGTTCACTAGATCAAGAAAATGGACACCATTCTATGCTCCGAAACATATAGATGAACCAAAATTAAAAAATATACAAGACCAACAAAGGCTAGAGGTTACTGACTAAGGACAGACGCAAAAATGCAGCTGGGTTAAACAGGTTTTATGAGCGCTCAGCCTTCCCCCTTCACCTCTAGCCAATGTAGACATATATACTAGTAACTTCAACGTCCACAATTTTGAGTGTCACTGCCAAAGAATAAATTTTGGGGTCCCTAACAAATATTGCCTCTGCAGCTGACCCAAAGAGTCCACTCTTAACGAAATCTACAGAAGGGGTCTTTTACATGTATGTACTATAGTTTAGTTGCTATCTCCCTTTACGCTTAATATGACGGTGCTAGCTATGAAATTTAATAATAATTAAACTACAAGCCATCCGCTGTATTTCAATAGGCTATCTGTTTCTTCAGAAAATACTTTGCGTAGTGATTATGTAAGCAATCCATTCATATTTTTTTTTTACACGAGACTCAGATGAGGCCCAAACAACAAAAAGAATCAATAATACTGTATACAATTCTATAAGCAATCATCATTCAAAAATGTTAAAGAGGTACACCAAAAAATTAAAATAGTTTTCCCCATTTTCACGCAATTCGACTTTCGTAACTCGCAACTCGGCCTTCGTAACTCGCAACTCGACCTTCGTAACTCGCAACTCGACTTTCGTAACTCGCAACTCGACCTTCGTAACTCGCAACTCGACCTTTGTAACTCGCAACTCGACTTTCGTAACTCACAACTCAACTTTCGTAACTACTCGCAACTCGATACTCGACAACAAGTGAATCTAGTAAAGGTCAAGTGTCCTTAAAATCAGGGATTGCTAGGTTTTTGGATCAGGTTTCGTTCCGAATGTTGGTTTGTTTACCATCATGTAATCATCGGAAAACTTTTGTCTTATCGACGATGATTCGAATGTGAATTGCCACCTCAGAGCATGTGTAGGGAGCGTAACAAAGACTTTGCGTCAAAGTATATTAAAGTTACGACTACAAATGCGAGAACAATATCCCCTTTTGATATTACTTTACATAAGAACTGAACATTTAAAAACATCTGTATATTGTTTTTTGTTGTTATTACACCGGTGATTTTTATTTTTTTGTAGTAATTATTATTACATCGGTATTATACATTGCGTTCGTGTACTGTTTTGTTCATATATGTTGATATAACTGAATTATAACTTAATCCTTGTCATTATCCCCGGGGATGTGTACCTGTCACGAAATAGAAGTTTCTTCATAATATAAGTTCCAAATGGAAAAGATATTCTCGAATATTATTTCCACTGGAATAAATATTACAGTATATGTTCCTAACGGAATAAATGGTATAGAATATAATTTGTTCCAACAGTAACAGATATTATGACATTGTTTATAACAAAGTTTCCAGTGGAACTTCTGTTAGGCGGAACAAATATACGTTGACATACCTAACGGTCAAGATACAGCAAATGGGCTATGTCACAGTTTAAAAAAAAATTGCATGCAATTTTGGCTCGTTGAACTATAACGGAAAATATAAAACTAATGCTTCAGTGCTTTTATTTTCTAAAATATTACTCAATGAATTCTTTCAAAATAGGTGAACATTTGTATAGAAAGCACATACAATCGGTGGAGAACGTTCTTAAATTCTTCAAATCTCCAATTACCAATTCATAAGTATTTTAAACAGTGTACCTACAAGGTACTTCTTTACTTTCGAAAATAACTCTGCCACTTCTTAAGATTCAAAAACGAAAGGCCAACTCGAATTGTACAAAATTGTAGACTACTGGATAACAAAATCAACACTTTACTAACATTGTGGTTGAGACAAGAAATATTTTGATGCCCTGTCCATGTTATTGTAATGTAATTGTTTTGTAAGACACATAATTTATATTCATTTTGCATTTAGAAGTCAATTTAAGAAATATCACATGCGTTTCACATTTTTAATTCATTTTGATTATAGCAATATAATGAGACCCGTGCTAGTTAATGTTTTCCGTTGGATTATATAAACAAAAATCACCACATTCCAAAATTTTTAACGTTTTCACATATTCAAATTCACATTTTGTGTGTTTTATTGGCGACAATATGTGAATTTTAATACAGGCTAAAATAAAGCAGTGGGTACTAACAAATATGCAACAAAATGAAGTTATATAAATACAAGTGTTAAAAATAATTGATAATGTAATGTCGTGAATGTGAGAGTTAAAATGACAGGTTGGGACTAGTTGAAACATTAAATAATGTCCTCTATGAATGAAATGTTGTTCTCTAGACATAATTTCATGCAAAATATGGTTCACATACAATATCTAATTCATCCATGAACATGATGAACAGATTAAAGATTAAAAACTAAGATTTTTATTTTATTTTCAAGGTTTGAATTATCTCCCCTTAATCATCCAAAAATTTACTTATCCAAGTAATTTTTTTTACAACCCCTTAAATTCTCAAGTTTTGGGAGGTCAAAACATGCCAAAACAGAATTTTCTGGCTTGCTTATTTATTTTTGATTACAGTTCAACCTTTTATCTCAAGAACTAAGCAAAGAAACCAATTGCGCACAGATGTTAAGTAACTGCGCAAGACCTTCAAAAATACCTCCGTGGAGGCTTGTAAATGAGCAGTATTTTGAAGAAAACAGACAAATGAGATTTTCATTGTCCATGAAATTATACTTTTATGATGAGTTAACAATGTAAAGACAACTAACTACATTTTTACATGTATTAATGACAGACAATAGACCACTTTCAAGTTCGTTGCATTTCCGTCAAAAAGTATGAAAAACTTTGGTTTTAGTGAACATCATTTGTGCATTATGGGGCATTAACATTTACATTAACATGTTCTCGTCCTGAATATGTATATTAATTTGCAGATGGACGGTAAGCAGCCATCCATCATCATCATCATCTTATAATTGATAATCAGCACTGCTGTCATTAGGGAATTGTGATTAAGTACCTACAGAATAAACATTATTTCTAGTTTGTCCTGCATAATGACGATCACGGAGACGCTTGATGAACTTTGATAGTGCAGGGATACAGGCGGTCCCCTCTATCTTGTAAATGATGTCATAAAGGTGCGCATAATTGACGAACTTTTACGGTGAAGGACATAACTCGAAAGTGGTCTATTAGAGCGAGCAGTCAAGAGAAATTCAAGAGTAGAAGAATATGACATTTTTACTTTAATATATTAGTAAAAAAAATCTGAATGTGTAAGGGATATAGCTTTACCTCCAAAATAATTAACCTGTACCAGTACATAAAAAACACTTGTATAAGTTTTACCTCTGACTGATCTAGTCAAGTTTTCAATGACTGCACACCTTCCAAATTTGTGTATTGAATTTACAAAATTGTCAAGATTGGTACATAGATTGTATAACACTAATACTGACATCTTTAATGCACTTTTTATTAACTTTCCACTTGCTTTGACATAATCATGAAATTTTTACGAAGGGGAGATAATTTATTTTCTAAATCACAATCCTTTGATAACCCTGCTTTGTAACACACTTTCTCCCAGTCCCCAAAAAGTATGTACTATGACCATATGATCATGATGATTTAGATGATTTGAGGAAGAGCAATATAGCATGTATAGAATATTGTAACTTGTTTGATTTGGGCTGCTTTAATGATGTGTTATAACTTTGATGAAGACCAATCAAAATCCCTTAAAATTCACTTTAACTGAGTTTCAGGAACTGCTTTTGTTCTGGGAGACTGTGTTACTTTTTAATGTGTACCCTTTTCCATTGTATTACTCTTTTTGTGTCTGTATTTTGTCTGAAAACTTAAGTAGGGTGATTAAGATGTTTGTTTTAATCTTTTTGGCTGTTAAATAAGTTTCATTCTACATCCAGGTGGGCAAGCAGGCTTTATAGAGCCTTTAATTTGTGTTGTTGGTAGCTGACTCATTGATGTTTTTCCCATATTTCAATTTATTCATATTGTTTCCATTTTCTGTACATTTGTAGATAAACACCGATAAATATGGCCACAACCAAGAAACCTACAGACAGTAGACAGAATGATGTCGTTCTAAAACTACGAGTCAAAGAGGTGAGAAAGTCGTACTACAATGTACTAAGAGAAATTGATCTCTTTGTCATAAGTCATGTTTATGTTGTTATTTTGGTGTGGCATAACTAAAGAAAATTGATGTTGAATGAAGGCCATGTCATAATAGTAAGTGATCATTCTTTTGAGGAATAGTTCAGGTTTAATCTTTTAGAATTGGATACATATATTCAGATATAAACTTATATTTAGGTACCGGTAGTTATGCCAGCCTAACATTTATTTTTTTAAAGTACACATTGATGCAGTTTCCTGATATTTGTAAAATGCACAACTAGTTGTCGAACATAATTGCATCCTACTTTCTTTTTTAATTTCAGTTTTAAGAACATCTTACGTTTCAAAATAGTTCTTAGCTCATTTGATGCTTTTCAGTCAACAGTTGCTGTCCAACTTCTGGGCAGGTATTAATCTGTTAATTCAGTGACAGTTCTGCAATTTTTTTTTTAGTAACAAAGGATTGAAAAAGACTTTGGGTGATATATTAAATTATTGTTTATGTGATCCTTAAAAGTTCCTGTTTTATGCAATGAATTGATGTTTTTTGTGGTGTCCAGCTCAGGGGAAAGTAAGCTATTGTTCTTGAAAACTCAACAAATGGTAATAACTCCTGCTCAGTACAAAAATGAAAATTAGTTTGTAAAGTAGACTGTAGTTATATCATGGTGCTACCAATTTTCAACTCCCTGCTTTTTATTTTCTCAACACCAAGGAGCTTGCCAGTATCCCTTAAGAACCACTAAAATTATTCTAATTGGTCCCCAGTCATTTGAGCTTACAAAATGTAGGTACCAGATTTTGGTATGAACTAATTGAATAAAACAATTGATTTTAATGTTTACTAGCTTGAAGATGAGGTAGCGGGTTTGAAGAAGAGACTTGACGAATTACGAAAGGCAAAGAATACAACCATCACGAAACGTGAACAAAAAGTGTTAGAAGTAGGATTACCATTTGGAAAAAGGCAAGGAAAGCATTTTTTAAGTACAAAATACTCTTCAGTTAAAATTGTTTTGCAGAATTCGATTATAAATTATATAGTATTAAATATGTATAGAAATTCTTTTTAAAGGGGTCCTTTCACTTGAAAATTCAAATGGTCCTGGAGATCTAGAATTTTCATTATTGAAAGCAAATGTGAACCCCCTGATGACTGCCACTCCCAAAAAAACAAAAACAATACTTTCATGAAAATTTGTAACTGTTTATAGATCATGTTTTATATTAATTTGCAACATGTACAAAACAAATCTGACAAACCAAGAAAGCAGTTTGTAATTTTATGCGTATAGCAATACATTGTATTTTATTTCTTCAATCAAATATATACAGAGATAGTAAAACAACTGATACAAAGAAATCTGATAACACTGCCAAGAATAAAGAACTTGAAGGGAAAAATAGAGAGATTGATGAACTGAAGAGAAGATTTGCAGAAGAAATGGAACAAATGAAGAAAGATTTAGTTGAGGTAAGTTATATCCTCTGGTTTGCTTATTTTATACCATGATTAGTGTTAAGCAGTCAAAATAGACATACCAACATATCTGAAGTTTTCATTGTGTAATTTATTTTGCTATATTTGTAGATGACATTACTATACGGTAGTTTACTCTGTGCATGAAATGATAGTATTTTTGTGCAAAATTAAAATTGTGGTGATTAAAATTCATAATTGGCGAAAGAATTTGGCAAGAAATATAATGGTACGACTTCCTCTATCTTGTCTACGGTACTTTTTCAGGTTTTTCTGACTTTTTCCATGATCAGGCAATACTGGGAATTCACCTTGAACTCGTTACGATTTTGATAGAAAATAAATAATCAGCTGATTGCATTTTAAAGCTATCGGCAACAATGGACTTATTAATAAAGGTGTTTATTGTATTGTTTAATGAAATGGTGTGCTAAATGGCAAAATAGGTCACCTAAAGGATTTATTTACAACTTTGATAGAAATAATTGTTGTGAAGTTGGTACTTCACAATCGTTTTAGCAACGCACGTGTTTGAAGTTTTTATATGTCTCGTCTTTTTCTTTTAACGAAGGTCTGAAAAAGAAAACTGTTGTTATGATGAAAAATATTCCAAAGTAAGAAATATATCTGACTTTAAACTTTATCCTTTAACTTTGATAGAAATAACTGTTTTGGAGTGGGTACTTTACAATCGATTTAGTGACGCACACGTTTGAAGCTTTACCTCTCGACTTTTTCTTTTGATGATGGTTGGGAAAAGAAAACGGTTGTCATTACAAAATATATTCAAAAGTAAGAAAAATCTCTGACTTAAGTCTTTATCCTTCAACTAGACGGGAAATATCAGATAAACTTATTGAAGATGAATCCCCTGTTCCCAGAAGTCTAAAAATGACTCCTTCATTATCTATATTGCAATTATACAGTATCCTTCAAAAAGTAAATGTTTGTTATTATTTATTACAATGTAGATAAAAAATAGATATTACAGGGATTGAAGTTGAAATTTGGCATGGTAGCCCACAGCTTAAATTTTGTAGCCAATATATATAGTTCTATACAAGAAAAGCAGGAATTTTAGTAGCCCACACCAAATTTTAGGGGCCAATGGCGAGTGGGCCCCTGCTAATTTCAAACCCTGATATATAGAATTATAATAGACAACAATGTTGCGAACTGATTTTTTTTTGTTGGAAAGAATTATGAACTAAAAATATGTTTATTTTAGTTGGCGAAAAACAAATTAAAATCGTGAAAAAATATATTGTTTTGGCGAAAAAGGTGGCGAAAAAGAAATTTGACCCAGGGGAAACCCTGCTGGTATAACATTAAACTGTGCTTAAGTAAAACCTGTAAAAAATGAGCTAAAGAGGACGCATATGATTGATCTGTAAGTAGGTTCTGTCCATATAGGACTCGAATATCCAAAAGAACTAATAAGAGACTTAAAATACCTACCCAAGAACACTTGCTGATAATTTAAGATGATTCAAAGATTGTATTTTCTTATGCCTAAATGTATGAGCTTTTGCATACTAGTACTGTTAAAGATTATAAACAACAGTAAATTATTCAAAAACCAGAATTGTGTAACAAAATCATATTTCATAGTGAGAACATTTAGATACATTGTATTTTTCCTAAACTTGTGTGCATTATGGTAAATTCTGTTTACCTTAATGCACAATAGTTAAGGAAAAAAATATCTAGAGGTTTCTTGTGAGACCATGAGTTTAAGACACTAGACCACAATCAAATCAATATGACCACTTTTTAAAAATTTGTGGCTGTATAATGGAATTGCGATGTCGTCGCCGCCATCTGAAGACATTTGTTTTCCAGACAATAACTTGAGTATCTATGGAAATTGTACCACAAGGTTCCATACCTCAAAAGGAAGGTTGGGATAGATTTTGAGGGTAATGGCCCAAACTGTTTATGAATTAAGGGCCATAAATTTGGAACAAAAACAAGAATTTTCTGCATTCCGGAATATAACTTGAGTTAAGTCAATGGATTTCTATGAAATTGTACCACAAGGTTCCATATCAAAAAAGGAAAGTTGGGATTGGTTATTGGGCTTATGGACCAAAGGATTTATGAATTAGGGGCCAAAAAGGGGTCAAAAACAATACTTTTCTAATACTTTGTATAAATTGCTTATTTCTTGATCAATTTCAATGGGGTTTAATTCAAAGTCTTAATTCTTGGGGTTTTTAGTATGCTGAATCTAACCGTTATTTAGATTCTGGATTTTGGGCCCGTTTTTAAATTTGTCGTCTTTGAGGTTCAAAAGGTCCAAAATTATACCTTGTTTGATTTCATCAAAAATTGAATTATTTTGTTTTTTTTTATATGCCGAATCTAACCGTGTATTTAGATTTATAATTTTGGGTCCTGTTTTCAAATTAGTCCAAATAAAGGTCCATTAAAATTTATTTGATTTCAAAAAAAATTTAATTCTTGGGGGTTCTTTGATATGATGAATCTTACCATGTATGAAGAATTTTGATTATGGGCCTGGTTTTAAAATGGGTCCACATTAAGATCTAAAGAGACCAAAATTATTAATTGAATATTAACATGTATTTAGATTTTTGATTTTGGCCCCAGTTTTCAAGTTGGTCCAAATCGGGGTCCAAAATGGGCCTGGTTTCAAATTGGCCTTCATTGAGATCTAAAGGGTCCAAAATTAAACTTTCTTTTGGTTTCAACAAAAATTGAATATATGAGGTTCTTTGATATGCTGAATCTAACAGTGTATTTATATTTTTATCTCGCCTTGACGGAGTCAAAAAGAGAGACATTTGTATGCTGTTTCTGGTGTCTGCAGCGGCGGTGGCAACAATGTATTAAGTTGTGATTATGTCAGTTTTGTGGGGAACCACTAGTGGTTGTTCAATGATATTCGGTATGCAGTTGTATTAGCATTGGTACATCTCATTTCTGTGGAGATTATCTGGCCTGCCCCCTCAGTCATGGTCTATTGCATAGTTTACATGTATTAGTTTGTGATTAGGTCAGTTTATGGGGAACCACTAGTGGAAGGTCAATGATATTTGGTATGCATATGTATTAGCATTGGCACATCTCATTTCCATGGAGAATGTTTGGACCTATTCCTTTAGTCATGGTCCATTGACTTTGAATATTTTGCATAACTTGCATGCTAAAATATTGCTATTTTAATTTCAATATTTGCATTTTACTTTCAAAATAACAAAAAGGCAAGACATATCTCTGTATATAACAGTTTATGGATTTTTGGCCCTGTTATCAAATTCGTCCAAAGGGTCAAAAATTAAACTTTGTTTGATTTCATAAAAAATTGAATACTTGGGGTTCATTGATATGCTGAATCTAACCATGTATTTAGATTTTGGATATTGAACCGTAAAAGGTAAATGTCCAATTTAAAATTTTAAGTTCTTAGACCACATTCATCCTGTGTCAGAAACCTATGTTGTGTCAAATATTTAATCACAATCCAAATTCAGAGCTGTATCAAGCTTGAATGTTGTGTCCATACTTCCCCAACTGTTCAGGGTTCAACTTCTGTAGTTGTGTCAAGCTGGGCACTGCAAAACATTTCATTAAATATGTTTCTTTAAATATTTGAGACCTATACCTTGGGTAATATTTGCTCAGTATCTGCACCAATACCTTTCAGATTTCAATTTATCATGGGCCAGCTGGAGTCTATTTTAATGACACATAAAAATGTTGTCTAGGTGATATAAAAGAGACCAGGAGTAACTATCCATCTCAGTTAAAGCTTTCTTTTCAATAAGAATACTATGAAACATTTTGATTTTAGGAATATGCATGTGACCATGATATAGAAATAGAAGCTCTCAGGAAAAACATAGCAGAACTACAGGGGGATAATGCAGCATTGGTGGTAGAAAATGACGACCTCAATGAAAGAGTTAACTCACTGGTTAATGATCTCAGTATAAAGGAGGCTACATGGTGTGATAATGAAGAAAAAATGAAGATTGAGGTATGCATTGTTTATTTTTCCAATCTCATTAAGCAAATACATGTATATGTCAAAGAGTTACAACATTGATCATGTTGATTTTTACAACTAATACTTTACTAATCTCAAAATATGAAATGATCGATATAAATGATGCATCCTGATATAAGGGTATGTTTTGTATTTCTGTCAACCAGAGTCTGTCAGATAAATAATTGAACTGTAAAAATAGAGTTTTTTTCATGTTGATAACTCAAAATAAATTTGTGTTCTCTTGTCAAACTGTTATTTCATAAACAGTTCAGATTGCATTGGAAAAAAAAAAAGAAACACTGAGTACCATGTCTATAGAAATATTCACCTGATCTGACTTTCCAATAGCCTAAATTTGTACCCAACATGACAATTATTTGAAATACAGAAAAAGGCCAATGACCAAAACATTATTATGTTCCTCCCCTTTTGGCAAGAATTTTATTGAGGATTTTGGTATATATGCAAAAGATATTAAAATATATGTTTAATAAAAACAATCTGCTTTCCTAATCTGGAAACAGATTGATGGACAAATCAACACATTTTTATTGTGTAAGGTTATCAGAATGAACAGGCATTCTTGGGGATGTTCCAGAATTAGACACATGTGGGGCATAGAAGACAACACTCTTTTTAGACCCCAACCACCCATAATATCACATTTTCATTTTACTTATAAAATTATAAGGTGAATGTAACCACCCACAATTAATTATTTTTAAAGAGCAGGATTGAAGAATAAAATGTATGTCATAATTTTGATTAGCTTTTTTAGCTCACCTGGCCCGAAGGGCCAAGTGAGCTTTTCTCATCACTTGGCGTCCGTCGTCCGTCGTCCGTCGTCGTCGTTGTCGTCGTCGTCGTTGTCGTCGTCGTCGTCCGTCGTCGTTAGCTTTTTACAAAAATCTTCTCCTCTGAAACCACTGGGCCAAATTTAACCAAACTTGGCCACAATCATCATTAGGGTATCTAGTTTAAAAAATGTGTCCGATGACCCCGCCAACCAACCAAGATGGCCGCCATGGCTAAAAATAGAACATAGGGGTAAAATGTAGATTTTGGCTTATATCTCTGAAACCAAAGCATTTAGAGTAAATCTGACATAGGGTAAAACTGATTATCAAGTCAAGATCTATCTGCCCTGAAATTTTCAGACAAATCTGACAACCTGTTGTTGGGTTGCTGCCCCTGAATTGGTAATTTTATGAAAATTTTGCAGTTTTTGGTTATTATCTTGAATATTATTATAGATAGAGATAAACTGTAAACAGCAATAATGTTAAGCAAAGTAAGATCTACAAATAAGTTGTCATGACCAAAATTGTCAGTCGACCCCGTTAGGAGTTATTGCCCTTAATAGTCAATTTTTAACAATTTTTTGTAAATTTTTGTAATCTTTTACAAAAATCTTCTTCTCTGAAACTACTAAGACAAATTTAACCATACTTGGCAATAATCATTATTAGGATATCTAGTTTAAAAAATTTGTCCGATGACCCCGCCTTCCAACCATCATGGCCGACTTGGTTAAAAATAGAACATAGGGGTAAAATGCAGTTTTTGGTTTATATCTCTGAAACTAAAGCATTTAGAGCAAATCTGACAGGTGGCAAAAATGTTCATCAGATTTATAATTATCTGCCCTGAAATTTTCAGACGAATCCGACAACCCGTTGTTGGGTTGTTGCCCCTGAGTTAGTAATTTTGCAAAAATTTTACAGTTTTTTGTTATTATCTTAGATATCATTATAATATCTAATATCTAATACTATTAATTATGATTTTAACCTTATTTTACATGATTTCCAAAGCAACAGTAAATACAGGTGAGCGACACAGGCTCTTGAGAGCCTCTAGTTTCTATTTGATAAACTTTTGAAATAGTATCTTATCAATGCATGGAGTATAATGTCAACATATAATCAGAATTTGCTACTTTAATATGTTAATATCCATCATTTTAAAATGTTTGCTTCTCAAGTTTCAACTTTTCCTGTGAATTTTGTTACACTTTTTTTTCCTAGGCCATGTGTTAGAAATATTTTCAAAGCAACCCCTAAATTTCTTTTTTTTAAACTTATGTTTCAAAGCACTTCTGGTGAAATAATTTGAAATTCTTGTTACTTATATTTTTACTTACTTTTCTCACTAAAAATTCAAATTTTTCAAATGATTATATCTCGAAAACAAGCCCTCATCCCTATCTGTTTGGTATATTTAGTAGTACAAATGTATTATACATTGTCTTATCTATTGTAAAATTCATTATTTATGAAGATGTTATTTTGTGAATTTTAGCAGCGAGTACCCTTAAGATACCCGTGCTATGATCATCAGAGGCAGTATGGATTGTATTCCTTATTGTTAATTACTTGTTTATTATAAATTTACAGATGCAAAAAACCTGGGGTGAAAAATACGCTGAGTGGATGCAGAGGACAGAACAAAAACTCGAAGAACTTCAACAAGCCAACACTTTATTGTATGTATAAAATATAGATCAACTTTCCTTTCTTAATTCTTTGAAGTTGTTTTTCAAAGCATGGAAGTATTTATTTTCTATCATCCAATTATGATAACTTTATAGCAGCCCAGTTTTATTAAGAAACAAGGATCGAGACTGTATATGAACCAATTTTCAGGTTTTCTGTGTATTGATATTACTGAGTGACAATATGATGCTGTTCTGGTGAGTATGAATAGCGAACAAGCTCAAAAAGCATCACATATGTCGAGCAGCAAAAATCAGATAAAAAGAGAGAGAAGATAACATGGAGGCAATCAAAAATCATAAATCTAATAATAATTTGCGGACAACACCATGGTCAATAATAAAAAACAATGGAAAGACAACAACAGTAATAAAACATTGCAGAGGATACCTAAAGTTGAGCAACACAACCCCATTAAAAACTTTGGGTGAACTCAGGTGCTCCAGATGGGTAAACAGTTCCTGAGTCACATGTGGACCCATTGTGTTTCTTATGCCAGTAAAATATGGTAATAATTAAGTCAGATTGAGTAATGTCACAATTGAGGGAAATAGCATTGTGGTTAGGACAACTTTAGCATATCTTAGGTCATATGCTACACAAATACTCCATAACTGTCAACCAAATCATGGTCTCTGAAAAGTGCAGATTTTTTGTTTTCATCCTTCATGCAATAGCTTCCTTATGAGCAGCTACAGTTGGTCAAGGAAGTCATATGATTTTAATAGAATAACCACATATATGATCATGCGAACACATAATTGTTTGAAGTACCTGTTAAAGGTGTCTACATATCTATATCTGGAAACTTTAAAGTTATGGTTATGGTCTCATTGACATATATCATTCAATAAGACATGGACACATTTTAGACGAGGGTACCTTAGAAATAGAGGAGATATACCTAATTTACCTGGTAAGCATTTGATAAAGCAAATTCACACTTCTGTTTACTAAACATCGTCACAAGTTTACACCTGTGTTCAGGACCTTGAGGAAATATTTTTAATTTACAATGTTTGCATTATACACTTAATTTCACAACATCATACATTTTGTCACATACCTTTATTACAACTAGTTCACATAATTACTTCACTAGATAATGCCTATTCACATCTCATGTTTGTCAGCTGTATTGGTAGGGGAATGGTTTTGACTGGGTCAGGGTAAGTCCTTTCCCTTTTAATGACACCTTTAACAGTTTGTTACTGCATTTTTGTGTTCTAGAGGAGTGTAATAAACCATTCAATGTTTTAACAGTGAACCTCAGTATTTTGGTCACAAACTTATTTGTTTGGGAGACTTTGTATCCTATTTGTTTCAATTTTTTATTTTCTCAATATCTTTGTTCAGAATGAAATCAAAGAGAAAAGTGAAATCAATGTTATGTGTTAATAGAACATTAATTTAGTACTGTTTTTTTGTAATTTTTTGACATAATATTTACTCTATATATCAGTGTATATTCAGTATTTTTCAATTTTATTTTTCACATTTTCCATATTTTATATTTGTTACAGAGCATGCCACAATTTACGTTTGACAGCCCTAGAACATTATTTGTGTTACTTTATTCTGAATCCTGGTTTTTAATTTCATGTTTATGAATATATATAATATAACAATATAAAACATACTATAATACATGATACAATATAATAACTACTTCAGGCAAAGTTGACCTTTCATGAATTTGGCTTCTCTTTTTTGGCCTCTGTTGGTGCTATAGCTTCTCAAATATTCAAGTATTCATATATCCTTGGCTGTAAATTGTTGGGGATTTATAGTTCCTAATGAAGTTAAATGCAGAAAAGTGCTTTGAATGCACACAATTTATAAACTGCCACATGTGATGCATGAACTGTTTACCCATCTGGAGTACCTGAGTTCACCCAAAGTTTTTAGCGGGTTTGCGTTGTTCAATTTTTATCTATGAAGCGATTTATTGAAATAAATATCTTTTAAAATAATGTTACTGTAACATATGTATAACCTGTATCCTTAGTAAAATATAAATGTGAATTGTCATATTCAACTTGACATTCATAGTGCATTTGATTTGAATTGCACATTTTTACAGTAGACAGGGTGCTTTCCATCAAAGAAAGCCTGTAAGACTGATACATTATGTGCAAAGTGATTAATTATACAGACTGCTTGTTGTAACTCTTATTACAAATTTAGGAAAATTAAAGATTAATTAACAACATCTTTTTCAGGAGAGGATATCTAAAGAATCACAAGCCAAATGCACCAGATTCAACAGGACAGGACAAATCATGATGACTATATTAGATGATTATTTATACAATCCTTTCACATAGGTTTAATCGCATTACTTGCAGTTATATAATTAAGCAGAATAAGGTATAAGGCTATTTCAGAAATAATGTTAGAGAGATTGCAAATGAAGAAACTCTTTGTATCTTTTTGTGAGGGTAAGTGGGGTTTAATGTTACAATGACTTCTTAGGTTTGCACTACATGCATATTGTAAATGTTATTTGAGAGAAGATGAAAGTTAGAAGGACTTTTAAAGGAAAATGGCATTCCATAATCACATTAAAATTGTACAATTACAAGGATCATAAAATAATTGCCTGACAATCTGACAACATGTTTTTTTTCTCTGAAATAGCCTTTGCTAATGATATGAATGTATACTTTAATCTGATTGCCATATCATTTTCAGGATATGATGGCATTACTGTGATAAAAGACAAAATAACTGTGATATTTACATACTTATACAAACATTTACAATTTTACTTGTTTAATATGAGCTTGCCAAAATATTTTTTGAAATTTGCTCATAGTTTAGTGACTAGTATTTTATTTTTATACCTTATGTGTTTATTTTATGTTGTTCTTGTCATTTGTACTTTTGATATCTTTTAAACATAACCTCATTTATGTGTGCAAGAAAAAAAAGTTTTGTTATAAAATGAATTGCATTAGCTGACCAAAGAATTAATAGCCATTTCTACTGAATATTATAGGCATCTTTTATCTTCAATTCTTCCTAAAATGTTGTTGTTTGGAAATGGAACATTGAATCAGTTGCCTCTTGTTTGGAGACTACCACACATTAATCTTTGCATTTGTTTTGAAAGGACCACACTGCATGTTAAAAAAAACTGTTGTAACAACTCTTTTAGGGATCTGTAAGTTTCCTGTGACAAGGCAAAAAACCTTACCCTATCCAACCCTCTTTTTCCATTGGCAACCCAAAAGTTTTTTCTCTTCTTCATGGTCTATCCACTTTGTCAATCTTACCTTGATTTATTGTGTAGTGGTCTCATCCTGTCATTGTTTGAAATATTTGCTAAGATGCAAGTTATTTTAATTATAAACTTTCAATCAATTTATCCTGATCCAAAGATTTGATTTCACTGAAGCTTTTAGAGAATAGTTCTTTAATACATTGTTTCTTTTGTGGATATTCTATTTTATTTGTTTGCACTAAATCCTTATTTAGGTTCGATGTTGGCTTCAACCATAATCATGTACAATGTACTTAGTTGCATATCTCAGGAGTACTTATATAGAGCTTTGCCAGAAATATATGAGTAAGGGAGTTGAAATTTACAATTTATGTGACTCCAATGTGCATTAAATTTTGAGTTTTTTATATGTTTACAAGTCAGATTAACCATCATTATAACTGAAGTGTGTAGTTCAACCCCTCTTTATAACTGTGAAACATACCTCGCTTTCAAAAGAGTGGATACAAATTCTGTCCATTTGATACATTTCACCTTAATGTTATGCAGTGTAGATTCATATTAAAACCTTCTTTTCATTTAGACAATAGTTCTTGAAAGTCTGAAAGTAACTTTTATATTATGAAATTCATATGTACTGTATGTTTTTTTATTTTCCTTCACATCCGAAAAACCTTAAAACAAATCCTTTCAATATCAAACAATGAAACAAAAGATGCTAAATATTATATTCCTTTAAGGACAAGGACACCCTTCATGTTTTTACCTACATTTGTATCAAAACTATTGTAGGACAGCTTCAAGTTCTTGGAATTGATGTTAACACCATTTTTGCCTTAACCATGTAATTAAAGTTAGATCTGTTAGCATTGTACATGTAGTTTGAAACTAGATTACACTTGATTTGAATTAGATGTGTTCACTTGTGTTATTTTGAATATTTATTTTTGATACCATTTTGTTTTCAACAGATCAGAGTATACTATGATAGTTTTGTTACTACCAGAATATCTTTTTTTTCTTTGGTTTGTTGAGATATAGTTAATGAAATGAAATGAAGTAAAATATATGTTATTGATATATAATACATACAATTTTGTAGTAAAATGATTTGTGTTACTCTTATCTGAAAACTGAGAGTAAATACCACTTAAGCCTGTCCATTTTTTCCTTTGAAAGCTAGTGTAATGACTAACATGCAACTTATTTTATGATGTACTAATTTGTTGCTCATATCAAAAATTTAGCAAGTAGAGAAATACCCATAATATGCCCATATTTCCTAAAACAGCAAATTTGAACATCACAAGTAGCATACCGTATGATGTTGTCTGTTCGTGGTTGCCAGTTTTATGATGACCTCAAGATTTTTGTTGCATTGTATTATTTGGTTGCTTTTCCTTGAAATTTGTGTCAAACATCTCTTTTTTATTCAAATTTGTTGCAAATAAATTTTGTAAGAATGGAGAGTATTCAGATGTTATTTATTTTCTTATTGGAAAATATTTCACAAAGGCAAACAAAAATGGAAAAAACTACAATTTAAATATTATTAAATTTTAGACTTATTTGATATTCAGTTTGTTTGATTAAATTTTTTTATATTTTGGGCAGGCACAAATAAGAAGAAAGATAGGTTTTTTTTCAAATGCAGAAACCTCAATTTATTCAGGTACAGAATTTTTTTAAAGCTTTAAATAAATCACATTCATGTGATGATAAGAATAAATTAAAGTCTTGGCAAATCCCTTTTTTAGTTATAAAAATCTGCCTATGGAGGAGACTCATTGCATTTCTTTGGTGCTGGATCTTTGTACACCCAAAAGGTGCTCTGTTTTGGAAAATTTTGGGTCCTCAATGCTCTTTGTTCTCTATTTGGCTTTTTAAACTTTTTGTATTCGAGCGTCACTGATGAGTCTTTTGTAAATAACACTCGTCTGGTTTACAAAATTTTAAGCCTGGTATCTATGATGATCTCGAGTTTATTGGTACTGTCAAAACAATTGTAACATATTCTCACGTAGTTATTGAATCTCTCTGAAATATTAAAATTGGAAATGATACTTCATATTTTACCTTTCACTGTTTGTTAATTGAAAATTTATGTAGTTAAAAATAAAAATGCTAGTTTTTTGCAAGTCTTTTTTTGATTCCTCTATTATAAATTGCAGATATTCTTGTCAACCACTAAAAACACTATGACTGTTGGACATCGATTTTTAATTAAGCATGTACGACTTGGGTAGTTAATACAAAATTAAATTACATTCATAAACAATGTGCTTGAACTAAGAATGCAACTGCCTCGGACAAAGATAACCTGGCACAGTTTTCACTGTTCTGTTAATGCCTTTTCAGATTTTATACGCCTGTCATTGAATTGGTTTTGTCGTTCCAGAGTTACTGGACTTAAACTGACAGTTTTAGGCAATTTTTCACATATCGCGCACATACCACAGTATGCTTGGATCGATTTCCTTAAAACTACACTTGTTGGGATTGTTACAAGAAAGCTCCCTTTTGATTTTGATAATTTTCTGGTTTTTCGTTTCAAAGTTACCGGACATTTAATGTCAAATTTAGGGGGTAAATACCTTCTGTACACTTTGTTTAGCATGCTTGGATCTATTTACTAGAAAAACTACAAATGTTGGATTTGGTGAATGTAAGAGTATAAGCGACTTTCTTACTTTGAAAATTTCTGGATTTGGCATTCCCCAGAGTTATGGGACTTTAACCCTTTGATTTAAAGCAAGTGTTTACATGTCACATAAACTTTAGTATGCTTAGACTTATTACTATAAACTTTGGTGAATGAAGGCTCAATTTTGAATATTTCAACTTTTTGGTGTAGAGTAAACTTGAAGAAAGGTTAATTCATGTACAAGGAAGTCTGTATGAGACAATGTATCACTTTTCCAGTGGGTATGATGACGGTGATAAAAATATTATCTCAATATTTTATCTTTTCTCCCCATGTGAAATTGAAAATTTGTCTAAAAGAAATAATCCACAATGCTTTTCAATATAAAAATGGTAGCACATGCTATAAATTTATTGCTGTGGAATACCAAATGGCTTATTTTGTTAATAGGGAATAAAAAGATAAAAATGCTACACAGAAGAACAAGTGATTAGTATGGTGGAGTTTCTCGTTGACAACATATTTGCTGAATTTGGAGATTGACTTTTTCAACACATTGTCAGCATTCCTATGGGAAGGAGCTGTACGACTCTCCTTGCCAAACTCTTATTTTCATATGAGTCGGAGTTCCTTCAGACACTTGTCAAAACAAGAAGATCAAAGATGCCAGACCATTTAATTTCACATTCAGATATATTAAAGATGTTTTTTGCATTAACAATACTATCTTTTCTGATTGGGTTCCATTTATATATATACTCCAGAAATAGAAATTAGAGAAACAACAGACACAGCTCATTTTTAGACTTGTACCTCGAATTTGACATAAGCGGTCATCTCAGTACCAGAATCTATGACAAACGAGACGATTTTAATTTTGAAATTATAAATTTCCAGCACCTTAGCAGCAATATACCAACTTCACCTGCATATGGGAAATACATGTCCCAACTCATCCGGCATTGAAGAGTTTGTAGCTCTACTCATTCTTTATAAATCATCACCAGTGTCTAAGCAGAAAGTTGATGAACTAAGAACGACTCGTCTTTTTCCTTTAAAAGTTCATCGAAAGATACCAAGACATTGTTGATAAATATTCTGTATCAATTTCACAAATAATGCATGATGGTCTTGAAGTATCGATTCTATGCACTGACGTTGTTTATCATCTTAATTACGTGTTATAGTGTTGTTTTTATTTGTCTTTGTATATTTTTAACCTTTACTGTTTAGTCCATTTTTGGTAATATCCTTTTGGCGTGGCTCGATACTTATACATCCCGTCGTTGTGTTATTGTACTATGGTCATTTTTATGCCCTCGCCATAGCAGAGGGGGCATTAAGTTTTACCCTTGTCCGTCTGTACGGCCATCCGTCCGTCCGTCCGTACGTCCCAAAGTTGGTTTCCGTTCTCTAACTTTAGTTTGCCTCAACCAAATGTTATGAAACTTATACACAATGCTTATTACCACTAAATACAGATCAAATTTGAATTTTGGTGGCGTCACTTTTACCGTTCTAGAGTTATACTCCTGTACAAATGGAAAATTTGCTAAATTTTTCGTTTCCGTTCCCTTACTTAAGTTTGCCTCAACCAAATGTTATGAAACTTATACACAATGCTTATTACCACAATATACAGATCAAGTTTGAATTTTGGTGCCGTCACTTTTACTGTTCTAGAGTTGTGCCCTTTACAAATGGAAAAATTGTTAATTTAAAAAAAATTTTTTTTCTAAATATCAAGTCATTTTTAAATTGGAGTTATCTTCCTTTGTCCATGATTATAGTTGAATCAACTACAATCAATGCTTTATACAATGCAATGTTTAATTTTGCCTTCCACTGATAAATTAAAGCAATTTTTACCCTTCATTTCTAAAAATATTTTAAAGTCTTCTTTGAAAATCGGAGTTATCTTTCTTTGTGCATAATGGTAGTTGAATCAACTACAACCAATGCTTTATACAATGCAATATTCAATTTTACTTCCTACTGATAAATTAATTTGTTTCCGTTTTCTAACTTTAGTTTGCCTCAACCAAATGTTATGAAACTTATACACAATGCTTATTACTACATAATACAGATTAAGTACGAAATTTGGTGGCGACCGTTTTACCATTCTTGAGTTATGTCCCTTTATAAACATAAAAATTGCTGAATTTTTCGTTTCCATTCTCTAACTTTAGTTTTTCTCAACCAAATGTTATAAAACTTATACACAACCGTTCTAGAGTTATGCTTGTTTACAAATAGAAAAATTGTTGAATTTTTAGTTTCTGTTCTCTACTTAAGTTAGCCTCAACCAAATGTTATGAGACTTACACACAATGCTAATTACCACAAAACTCAGATCAAGTTCAAATTTGGGTAGCGTCACTTTTATTTGTATTATTGTCTTTCATTTTTGTCTCGCCTTGACTTAGTCAAAAAGCAAGACTTAGGTATTCTGTTTCCATACGGCGTTGGCGGCGTTGACAACGGCGGCGGCGTCAACAATGTATTAGTTCGTGATTAGGTCAGTTTATGGGGAACCACTAGTTGTAGGTCAATGATATTTGGTATGCAGTTATATTAGCATTGGCAAATCTCATTTCCATAAAGATTATTTGGCCCCGCCCCCTCAGTCATAGTCTATTGACTTTAAATTTTTACTTAGTTTACATGTATTAGTTTGTGATTAGGTCAATTTAAAGGGGGTCACTAGTGGTAGGTCAATGTTATTTGGTATATAGATGCATTAGCATTGGCAAATCTCATTTCCATGGAGATTTTGTGGCTCCACCCCCTCAGTCATGGTCTATTGACTGAATATTTTGCATAGTTTACATTTTAAAGTTTGTGATTAGATCAGTTGAAGAGGAACCACTTATGTTAAGTCAATGATATTTGGTATCCAGTTGTATTAGCATTTGCAGGTCTCTTTTTCCGTGGAGATTATATGACCCTATCCCATTGACTTTGAAACATTTACAATGTTTACGAGTTAAAGTTTATATTTTGGTTTGTGTAAAGTGCACCACTTACATCAATGATAAGTTAATTAAGTATTTGGTATGTAGTTTTATAAGCATTGACATTTTTAGCTCACCTGACCTGAAAGGTCAAGTGAGCTTTTCTCATCACTTTGCGTCCTGCGTCCGTCGTCCGTCGTCCGTCGTCCATCGTCCGTAAACTTTTACAAAAATCTTCTCCTCTGAAACTACTGGGCCAAATTTGACCAAACTTGGCCACAATCATCATTGGGGTATCTAGTTTAAAAAATGTGTCCGGTGACCCGGCCAACCAACCAAGATGGCCGCCAAGGCTAAAAATAGAACATAGGGGTAAAATGTAGATTTTGGCATTTATCTCTGAAACCAAAGCATTTAGAGCAAAAATTGTTTATCAGGTCAAGATCTATCTGCCCTGAAATTTTCAGATGAATCGGACAACCCGTTGTTGGGTTGCTGCCCCTGAATTGGTAATTTTAAGGAAATTTTGCCGTTTTTGGTTATTATCTTGAATATTATTATAGATAGAGATAAACTGTAAACAGCAATAATGTTCAGCAAAGTAAGATCTACAAATAAGTCAACATGACCAAAATGGTCAGTTGACCCCTTAAGGAGTTATTGTCCTTTATAGTCAATTTTTAACCATTTTTCGTAAATTTTTGTAATCTTTTACAAAAATCTTCTCCTCTGAAACTACTAAGACAAATTTAACCAAACTTGTCCACAATCATCATTAGAGTATCTAGTTTAAAAAATGTGTCCGATGACCCCGCCCGCGAACCAAGATGGCCGACATGGCTAAAAAATAGTACATAGGGTAAAATGCAGTTTTTGGCTCATATCTCTGAAACCAAAGCATTTAGAGCAAATCTGATGGGATAAAATTGTTCATTAGGTCAAGATCTATCTGCCCTGAAATTTTCAGACCAATCAGGCAACCCGTTGTTGGGTTGCTGCCCCTGAATTGGTAATTTTATGGAAATTTTGCCGTTTTTGGTTATTATCTTGAATATTATTATAGATAGAGATAAACTGTAAACAGCAATAATGTTCAGCAAAGTAAGATCTACAAATAAGTCAACATGACCAAAATGGTCAGTTGACCCCTTAAGGAGTTATTGCCCTTTATAGTCAATTTTTAACCATTTTTCGTAAATTTTTGTAATCTTTTACAAAAATCTTCTCCTCTGAAACTACTAAGACAAATTTAACCAAACTTGTCCACAATCATCATTAGGGTATCTAGTTTAAAAAATGTGTCCGATGACCCCGCCCGCGAACCAAGATGGCCGACATGGCTAAAAAATAGTACATAGGGTAAAATGCAGTTTTTGGCTCATATCTCTGAAACCAAAGCATTTAGAGCAAATCTGATGAGGATAAAATTGTTCATTAGGTCAAGATCTATCTGCCCTGAAATTTTCAGACCAATCAGGCAACATGTTGTTGGGTTGCTGCCTCTGAATTGGTAATTTTAAGAAAATTTTGCA